TTCATATCAGGTATGTCTTAAAGGACATGTTTTACTTGTATACTTTCAAAATAAATGTTCAACAACTGAAATTCCGCATCGTACAACTGTGGAGCAGATGATGCGCGAGCTTGGAGTTCAGATCTGCAGACTGCTGAAATAGCTATTGCAACAAAAAATATGACCTCGGGCTTTGATGCTACTACACAAGAGGGTGGCCATGTAAATGCTGTGCACTTTACAACCAAAACACGATGCATGGTTGTGGCTGTTGACCAACTTGCTTAGGGTACAGCTAATGATTATCAGAGTCATATTACACAGTCTGTAGACCACCTTGCTAAGTTGTATAGTAATTTTTACGAGCAACAATATATGGAAGTACGAAGTATAATTATTGCTAATATAAGTAATATGATGAGTGACATAGAGTGGTAGCAAACCATGCAACTGTTACTAAGTTAAATACTTAAAGGCAGAAATCGTTAAACAAACTAAACTGCCATCTTCACCCATTGGGTACAATGACCTCTGCTTGCAAGTCTTCACTTAAAGCATTGGAAACATTAAAAGGGAAACTGTTTGGCAGGGATTTTATTGCAGCAAACATTGTTATACAGCTTAACAAACTACGCTACAAGGACGGTTAAGATAAATTAACCATTTACTCTAAAAAATATCTAACAAAATAACAGAAGCCTTAATTTAACATATTTTTCTTCTCTATATTATATATATATAACTTAGTTTTCTTGCTTAAAGGTGACCCGAACTGTTTTTAATCATTCACTAAAAGTCAAGAAATAAGTTATAAATTAAAGCATAATTTTTTATGTTATTGTCTTTATTTATATTTAGCGTTATTATTAGTTCACATAAAAAATCGCATTATGTAAGTTTCTTATTTATTATACATATGTATACATTTTCTTTTCTTTTTTTTTTTTTTTTAGCATTTAGAGCATTTAAAGGCAGCATTAAATTTAAAGTTTTAAGATTTGGAAGGAGCGTGCTCTACCACTTTTTATACTGCTAAATTTTGTTTTAAACTTTTTTTGTGATAGATGGGAGGGGGGGTGACACCCCACATCCTATAATTTATTTATGTCACTAATATATAATTTAATAAAATATAATTTTTATTATGTGCTGTTTTATATATTAGTTTTATTATTTACTATTTTCATTCATTTTAATAATGATAAAAATATTTATTAGAATGTATCTTTCAATACTAGGGTGGGCATTACCACCACTCCACCTTCTTCATAAAATACATCTATAATATTTGCTTGCAAAATGGAATAAAAAAATAACAACTTAAAATGATAAATTACTTGTTTTATATATATAAAAAACAACGTTTTTTGGAAGTGAGTTTTTTAATGGCAAAGATGTTTCTTCTGTCTCCCTCTAGCCCCCTGAATACGCACAGGTGTTAAAAGCAAAAGAAGCTTGTAGTCCAATGTTACACCTATCTTTTGATACCAAGTTATAAGCATTTAGATAAGATTTGACAATGTTAAGGCGGTTTAAGTTACAAAACCATTATAAATTGGTCACATTTTTGTTAAGGAATCCTTCTAGTCTAATTTCGTCACTACAATGCTCATAACTTTTTGTAGAATTATCCAATTTTGATAAAATTTTCAGTTTTGGCATATCTTTTTAAAATATTTTCCAACGATATATAACAATCTGATATTTAAACAATTTGAAATTTTTACACTCGTACCTACAAAAATTTGGTAAAAGATGGCCTACTTTTTTACTACGATAAAAAAATAAACATGGATCTGCTAGTAGTTCTAACAAGTCAAAAAACTATGATTCTCGAATGCTGTAATTCTGCAATTCTTGGTGGTGGTCACTTTAGTCAAGGTAAAACGTTAGGTATTATAAATAATTTTTATAGGTATTATTAATAATAAGTTAGATAATATATTATCTAAATAATAACAAAAATTATACATAATTGTAAAAAAGTGTATTATCTAAGAAAAATATTATTTAAGTAATAACAAAAATTAAACATAATTGTAAAAAAAATTTCAAATAATATAAATTGATAAATACTTATTTAACTAAAATTATAATTTGTAACTAACCTTAAAATATGCATAATTTCTATTACTTCTTTCATAATATACTTTATAGAGCATTTGAAAAACATCATAATAGCAACCTGTTTATTTTCCAAGTGGCCTGAAGCAGCTTCCTTATCAAATAAAACAGCTACAAGTGCAGCAAAGTTTTTGTATACATGCTTTACAAGACATGGTTGTTGTGAAGTTCAGATAAGTGATCAAGGAAGAGAGTTTGTTAATGAGGTACTGTGTTGGATTTTGTTTATTTATTTGTCTTTTTTTGTTGTTGTTGTTAATTTTTAGTTTTCATTACTTTTTTGTAAAAAGCTCTATTTTTTGTAAAACATGATTCTATATTTTGATAAGTTGATATATCATAATTGGATGTGAAGAGTGAATAAAGAATAAATCAGAATTTTTACAACTTTAGAACTTGTTCATTTAAATTGATAAACAAAATGAGAGTTAAAAAAACAACAGTTAATCAGCCTCATCTGCAATACTTATATAAAAAAATTTTTTTTAGGGTTTGTCAATATATTTTGCACAACAAAAATGTTTTATGCCAAAACTTGCTAAACTTAATTATTTTATTAACTAATTTTTATTTATTAGGTTATGTTATACTTGTTTAATACAAGTTAATAATTTATTAATAAGTTAATAATTTATTTAATACAAACCCTATACAAACATTTTTTACAGGCCATTTAATAATGGGTCTATTTTCTTATATTATTTCTCTTCATATAAATAGTTTTTTTTTTGTTTTTGTTTTGTTCAGGTAAACCATGAATTAAATAAAAAACAGAGCAACGGTCAAGATGAATGGTTCAATCAAACTCTTCAGCATCAACTTTAAAAATATGTTGATGAAAAGCAAAACACATGGGATCTATACTTTGAGAGTATTTTGTTTTCATATCGTGTCTCTGTTCAAGTCTCTACTAAACAATCCCATTTTATCTAGTTTAGGGGAGACAAGCTAGGCTTCCTATTGATTTACAAATAAAATCTATAAAAAATAATTTTGAAAATAAACCTACAATTAATGAAAGCTTAAAAAATAGAGAAAGTCTGTTTAGAAAATGTAATTGAAATGCGAAAAAATGCACTATAAAATATTGAAAAAGCTCAGGAACGCCAAAAAAATGCATATGATGCCAATCATTGTTCAGGAAACCAGTTATTTAAAGTTGGCACTCAAGTGTTATTAAAAAATAGTAAAAAACTTTCCAGAAAAGGTTCAAAGATGGAGCCAAATTGGACTAGCCCATACAAAATTTGCCAAATTTTAAAAAAGAATACTTTATGTTCGTTTATGTTATATAAACGGTTGCAATAAGAAATTAAAACAAGTATACAATATGACTCGTTTGAAGATTTATTACCCAAAATCTGAAAATATGGTTCCAAATAATATTGTTGAAACAGTCCAAAATAATTCTGAGGGAAAGTCTAAATCTATATCTGAACAACTTTCTATTTTTACACTGACAATGAAAAAAGTTATACTAGACGGAAAAGAGTTGACTGATGAATATATAAATTTTGCTCAGTTGATAATAAAGAAGCAATTTCCTAATATTATTGGTTTGCAGAATACCTTGTTGTCACTGATGGATTTAAGGCAGTCAGTACAGATAGAATTTCAGTTCAGATTCACTTTATTAATTCTCATTGGGTCACTTCATGTTCTATAAATGGATCAATTTCACTTTATGATAGTATGTATAGCAAATTAGATTCGCATCTAATTAATCAGTTAGCTAGATGTTTGCTGATTATGGTGGTGAATTTCAACCAAGTATTGTTGTAAATATTTAAAATGTTCAACAACAGACTGGAAGTTTGGATTGTGGATCATTTGCTATAGCTAATGCTGTCCACTTGGCTTTGGGTAAACAACCAGAAAATTTATCATATAATCAAAAGTTTATGAAACAGCATCTTGAAAAAATGTTTTATGCTGGACAGTTTAAACCCTTTTCATTACTCAATAAACGAAGCAAATTGAATATTACGCGTAACAATCCCTTAGCTGTAAATGTTCAACTGCATTGCGCCTGCTTAATGCCTTGCATTTATGATTTTATGGTTGCTTGGTGCAAATGCTTAAATTGGTTCCATATTACACGTGTCCAATATAAAGCAGACAATTCAGTGCAGGAGTGAAATTGCAAAATATGCAAACTGTCATAAATGCTTTTTGTAAAATATTTTTAAAAATATATAAATTTTATATATATATATATATATATATATATATATATATATATATATATATATATATATATATATATATATATATATATATATATATATATATATATATATATATATATATATATATATATATAGTGAAATTTTAAAAACATCGAAAGACTATTAAATGTAGAATAAATTTATTAAAAGTTGAAAAACCTTTTTGGTAAAATTTATTATATAAAAAAAACTTTGAGATAAGATGGTATTGAATTATCTATAATATAACGCATATACGTAAATTAAAATTACTTTTAACAGCAAATAAAGTATACAAAAACTTATTGTCAAGTTTTTGATTTTCTATAATCAGTTACTGAGTTTTTTTAGAAATTTTATCGTAATTTTTTTGTTAAACTTTAAGAGATCTTTTCACTAAACTCTTTCCTTATTTTAGCATGATTTTTTTTTTTTTTTTAAATCTAATAAGCTTTAATCTTTTATAACAATAACTACCTCATAACTTATTTGTTTGGTTGTAGTTGTTTTCGATTTGGTTAGAAGTATATTAACAAATGTATTTCTATGTTTAATCAATTTCTAATAAATGAAAACTTTCAAAGTTAAAATCTATAGAATTTTTTTTAAATTTTATTCGATTCATTGAATTTAAATTCTGTTCCTGGCGTTTTGTCTCATTTTGAGTATAAAAATAAATTTCCTTGGTTTCTCATTTAATAAAAGTTGTTTAATAAAGATAACTACGAAAACTTTATTTGTAGGAAATTTGTAAAATGATAACTAACAGATTATTTTTATCCACGTGTTTACTTTTAGTTGTTTGTCATTCCATAGCAACAAAATTAAACTTACGTCCTGTTGTTGGGATTATTTCTCAACGAACAAATAGAGAGCTTGAAATTATTCTAGGTTATAATACTACATATATCGCAGCTTCGTACGTCAAGTTTTTAGAAATGGCAGGCGCCCAAGTAGTGCCTATCGTGTCATCTTGGAATAAACTGCAAATAAAACGAGTAATGAAAAAAGTTAATGGAGTACTTTTTCCGGGAGGTGCAGCTCCATTTAACGAATCAAACTATTGGAATGCTGCAAAAATAGCTTTTGAAGTGGCAAAAGACTTAAACGATAAAGGTATTTATTACCCAATCTTTGGAATATGCTTAGGTTTTGAGGTATTACATGAATTAACAGCAGGTGAGAAACTGCTTACTAATTACAATGCCGAAAACTACTCTATTCCAGTTAACTTTACTAAAATAGCTTTTCATAGTCGTTTGTTTGCAAATATGGGTAAAAAATTAATAAAAGGTCTTCAATTTGATAATATTACAATAAACATGCACGAGCAGGGAATCAGTCCCGATGTATATATCAAGAACATAAAAATAAATAAAATGTTTCGAATACTATCGACTAATTTTGATAGAAATGGAAAAGAATTTGTTTCGTCAATGGAAGGTAAGTTATACATACTTAAGTTTATTTTGGTAAGTTTAAATACAATTACATTATATATATGCATAATGAAATTTCTATTATATTCGCCTGAATACAAATTGTAAATCGCGACGGAACAAAGTTTCCAGTTTAAAATAAGTTAGCTTTTAAATATTAATATAAGTTAGCTATTTAATATTATTTCCAATCAAGGCCGGCGCGATGGGTGTGTGTGGGGTGTGACACCCCCCACCAATGATTTGATGGAGGGGGAGTGCAATTACAAATTTGAACCTTTCTGACAAGTTAGCCGGCAAATGTCGAGCCTTTCGACAGATTAGTCGGCAAGTGTTGTTATGGCAGTCGGAGAGCAGTCGGTAAATTTTAAAAAACGAGGACCTTTTTTTTTTTTTTTAATCGGCAAAATTTGTAATGGCACCCCCTCCCCCCCTCCCCCACGTGATCCCTACTCGCGCCGGCCCTGTTTCCAATTACAAGAAACATTTTTGTAATTATGTTTTTTAAATAAAACTTTTTTGTTTTCAATTAGACTTTACTATCCTTATTTACAATTTAGGTAATCTCATCCACAGGGTATTACATAAGCAACGTTATGACTTATTTAATAAATAACTTTTTTAATTTCAAATTTTATTTAAGATTTTTTATTAAGATTAAGATTATAGTTACCTCAAATAATATAGTCATATAATAATATAGTCATTTCCGGACTAAAAGTTCAAACGTTAAGCAATCTTTCACAATAACGTAAAAATCATTTAGAAGTATGCCCTACAAATAGGGCCGGCGCGCGTAGGTGTCTATTGGGGTGGTGGGGGGGTGGTGCCATTACAACTTTTGCCGACCAAAAAAAAAAAAAATACCTCGTTTTCGAAAATTTGCCGACTGCCATGAAGACATTTGCCGACTAACTGTCTAAATTACCGACTAACCTATATCGACAGGATCGACATTTGCCGACAAACTAGTCAAAAAGGATCAAATTTGCCGACTAAGTGTCAAATTTGCCGACTTAAAATCATTGATGGGGGGTGGGGTTTCACACACCCCAACACCCCCCTATTGCGCCGGCCTTGCCTACAAAAGCATTTGATTTGATTTTTTTGCTAAATTGAGATTATTATTCAAAATCTTTTTTGTTTAACGATTGCATATGGAAATATCTGAATCAGACGGCGTCATTGGCAACGTTGTCATATTGATATTTCGTTATTATATTAATATTGTTTTACTTATGTTAAAGATTTTGCGCTTAACTATACAAATTTTAATTCTCTTGATATTTCATAATAATTACTATAGTCATTAAAACACACGTTAGACTAACTAACACGTTACTGCGTGTAACAAACACGTTTATCGTCGTGACTACTTGCACGTATAATGTTAACAAACCAATTCATGATTTTTGAAAATCATAAGTATGAAAAAATAAGGTCGAAAAATCTTACAAAACGTGATAAATCATGCAAAGTGGAAACACTGGATCCTTGTGTTCTTACTTCAAATATTATTCTGAAGCTCTTTGTTGACTTTTTTTTTTTTTTTTTTTTTTTAATTTTATTTCGGTGCCCCAAAAAGTCTTTATGGTCTTATAACAGAGTACCGCGGATGAGCATTTAATTGGAAGTTTACGCCTTCATCCTAACCGATGTCGCAAAACTTGCCTTTTCTTTTATCTTTTGTTTCTGAGGCGAGTGCGCTACCTCTGCACCACCTCTGCCGCGCAGATGGTAGAAACAAGCTAGTGAATTTTTTTTTATTTTTAAACATTTTTGTTTTCTGCACTCACGCCGTTTTCATTACTTTTAATTATACGATGTATTTATATAATATATTTATCAAATGTTTCATAAATTTCAAGGTACGTTTTAGAGAATATACCAAAAACAATATCATTTTTGAAATATTCTCTACTTTCTCTCGCTGCCTCATAAGCGAGAAGTTCCAAGTTTAATCCCCACCACGACCCGGGTAATATCGCGCTCAACTTGTTTCTCCGCAAAGCGGCCTTGTTCTTCAAAGTTCGTGTTTCGGTATAGCCATCTTAATCACTTAATTTGCAACAAGCTAATTTTTTTCACCAATTAAGCTATTTTTTAAACGAGATTTTTGTAAAATTAAGGTAATATTGACAGTCGGTACAAATTTAATTTAATGTAATTGTGAATTGTAATTATAAAAATAATTTAATTGTTAATTGTAATTGAATTGATATTTGAAACTATACTTTCTTTTATATTTTTTTTAACAAAAACTCGATTTCTTTAACTAAACAAAAATTCGATTCCTTTAACTAAACAAAAACTCGATTACTTTAACTAAACAAAAACACTCATGATGACTTGTAGGTTAAGTTTTCACAGAGATTTTTTTTCTTATTTTGAACTGAATAACATTTTGTTAGGTTTTTTTAATGTAACGCAAAAAGTCATTTCACCTTAGCATACTAATGCTAATTTTGTCGTATTCTATTCTATATTCCATAATTATGCAAATACAACATATTCCATAAATAAAAAATAATTGTCAAGTAGTTTTTCAATATAATATTTGACACCCTAATGTAGATAATTTTTTATTTAATTTTGTGCAAATCTTTTATGCATAACAAATATGTTTTGATATTTTTTAAGGGAAAAAATATCCATTTTATGGAACGCAATGGCACCCTGAAAAAAACATTTTTGAATGGACCGAGATCGAAAACATAAATCATTCACCAACTGCTATTCACGCGTCTCAACACATAGCGAACTTTTTTGTTAACGAAGCAAGGAAAAACAACAACCATTTTGCATCTATAAGCGATCTACAAAGACACTTAATTTTCCACTATCAAATTATCTGGTCAGGAGGTTTAACAAAATTTGAGCAAATTTATATATTTAGAGACGAAAGTGCTTTAAAAAGAAAATCTGTGCATAAACGTATAGGTATATAAAATGCTACAGCCCAGCTATATGTATAGTTTTTTTTACTTTATATATATTATATTTTTATAAACTATATATATATATATATATATATATATATATATATATATATATATATATATATATATATATATATATATATATATATATATATATATATATATATATATATATATATATAGTTTATTTCTAACGGTAGCAAGATATAATGTATTTTTTATTAAAATTCAAAAATAAAATTGTAACAAACACTATAACAGAGAGAGAGAAAAAAAATGTTATATATAAAAAAAAATAAAATAAAATATAGTTAATAAGTTTTATTATTAACTAGATCACTAATCAGTAAAATAGATCAATATAAAATAAAATTTTGTAATTTTATAATGGAATGTTGTTGATGATTTTTTAATGTTATATTGAAAAAATATTTATGTTAACATAGTGTAATGTTTAAAGAATATTTGAGGTTTTGTAATTGTATTTTTGACGTTTTTCGAGTAATTTCGAATAATTGTATTTTTGAGTAATTTAGAGTAACGTTTTTTAAAAAACCGATAAGTCATAATATAAAAAACAAAGAAAAAAATCAAAAGCTTGAATGAATAAATAATAATAAAACGTACTCTAATCGACTCACTAAAATAAATTACAGTTATTCGAATTTAATGTAAAAAGTCACTCAAAGAAAGTTACTCAAAAACTCTATATGTTTAATTGGCTTAAAGTTGCTCATAACGTATCCTTCAAAAAAAAAGAACGTCATTAGTTCAAGCGTTTATGACCTGGTTTCGCAATATAAAACAAATAATATTTTAACACAAAGGTGATTCTCTAAATGCGTTTTGCTATGTTTATAGAAAAAACTCGTTACTAAAAAATCAAGACAACGATTTTGTAAATGGGTATTATAGAATTAAAATGGGAGACCTATATAGATGTTGGATGTTACATAATGTCTTCAAATAGTGTGCAGAATATTTGTGACAGTATATTAAAAATACGACAAAACAATTTGAGGTTTGTTATACCTATAGTTTTGGCGAGAGCCAAACCATTGGTTTATGTCCAATCATGTCGATAACTGCTATTTTGTGTTTTGATTTTAAGGATTACCCGGTGGGAAATCAGCTAGAGAATAGCTAGCGATATTCGTTACGATTAAAACAGCGATTTGGCCACGAGGATCGTTAGCTTTATAAGCTAGCGATCCGCTAGCTAAACAAGCTAGCGAATAGCTAGCGATATTCGTTACGATTAAGACAGCGATTTGGCCACGAGGATCGTTAGCTTTATAAGCTAGTGATCCGCTAGCTAAACAAGCTAGCGAATAGCTAGTGATATTCGTTACGATTAAGACAGCGATTTGGCCACGAGGATCGTTAGCTTTATAAGCTAGCGATCCGCTAGCTAAACAAGCTAGCGAATAGCTAGTGATATTCGTTACGATAAAGACAGCGATATGGCCACGAGGATCGCTAGCTAAATAAGCTAGCGAATAGCTAGCACTAAGTCGTTACGATTAAGACAGCGATTTGGCCACGAGGATTGCTAGCTTTATAGGCTAGCGATCCGTTAGCTAAACAAGTTAGCGACAAGTCGTTACGATAAAGACAGCGGTATGGCCACGAGGATTGCTAGCTAAATAAACTAGCGAATAGCTAGCATTAAGTCGTTACGACAATGACATCGATTTGGCTAGAAAATCTCGGCTAGGTTAGAAGATATGCTCAAAGAATCGCGTGCTATATTTTTCAGGGGAGTGAATAATAACCATTAAAATAAGATTGCATTTATAACAAGTTAAATACAAAATGTTAATACTTGTTTCCATAAAAAGTTATAAATGTTAAAGCCATTATAAAATGTTAAAAGAAAAGTTATAGATTACTTTTGAAAAATAAAAAGTCATTAACAACTAAATGATTTTGCCTAAATTAAATTAATAATTTTAAAAGATATTTAAAAAGATAATAGAATAAAATTTCTGTCAAATTTTAGTTTTTTTTTAAATCTTTATCAATTTTCGAAAATAATTGCTAAAAAAGTTGTAACAAATAAAATATCTAAAAAAAAATAAGTCAATAAAAAATAATAGAACAAATAAACAAAAAAAATAAGTTAACTGGAATCACTACATGAGTCAGTGTTTAAATTTCTTTTTTTTCTAACAGGACTGAGTATTTGTATATCACTTGTTAAAGAAGAACTTCTCTTTCTTGCAGCAAAATAACAATCTTTAGACTTTTTCAAGTGTTTCGCAATTATTGTAGTCATACTGGATGCAGTGGCAGTTGGAAATAAACAGTAAGCTGCATCAAAAATCAAACTTTCGACTGGTCCTATAAACCTACGCTTTTTATCTGCACCAGTTCGATTAATGCTGCAGCACAGCTTGTCTGTTAAACAAGTTTTTAAAGCATTTTTTAAAAAGTCACTTACATTTCTCCCATCAATTTGCTTTAACTTTCTGCAAATGATATCTTTATCATTAGAGTTAATTATTTTATTTTCTAGTGAGTCAAACTCTTCAACTAAATTAGCTGGTAAATAATCTATATTAATATTTTCTTTATTACCATGATTAGTGTCTAAAATTGAACGCATGGAACGCATTTCTGTTTCCAACCCACAAAGTTTTCTGTATATAGAGTTCACTATAAATTGAATGCCTTCAACAGTATTGGGTTCAACATTTGCTTTCCGAATAAAGTTATTTATTTGGTCTATCCCAGTTTTTTGAGATAATAAAGAAAAGGAAGAAGATGAATGCAGTAACGGTTGAACTTGTGAAACAGACTGCATTTCTGATGGAAACACTATCTGTGTAACTGGCAAGTCATCTACTTGATCCATTGAGGCAGAGACGGACAAAAAGTTCTAAACAAGATTAACAATGATTATAAATACATTCACAATATTCTGATTATATTATACTTTTTTTTTAATTAAAAAATGGTAACTAAAAAAAGCAAATAAACCATAAAAATTAAACAAAAAAAAAAATATTTTTACGAATGGGATAAAATTTTAAAATGTATACTGAATCGGAATCAGGAAGCTTTGGTGGCTCCCATAATGGTAATGATGGTAAAGGAGGTTCTTCAAAAATACATTTTTTTTTCTCTTTCTGTTTTGTTGACTTAAAGGAGTTTTCTTGTGTTTTTTTTTGATGTATTAAAATCAATTTCTACTTCTGATTCTGCAGTAAGAATATGCTAAAAAAAATAACTTTTTTAATATACATACAATCATAGCTTTATACAATATACATATCATAGATCTTCCATGCAATATTTTAAAAATCCGGAAATTTGTTTGGGTAAAATAACCGGAAAATATTTTCTCTTATTTTCCTCTTATTCTTGCTTATAGCTGAGTTTTTTCTTTTTTTTTTTTTTCAAACTTTTCTTTATTTTTTTATGAGTGATGAGTGAAAAAGCTTATAAAACAAATAGATGTATTTAAACTTTTAAGTATAGAAAATGTTTTAGATATCCAGCAAAAAAAAAGTTACAAAAATTTCCAGAATTCTGGGAATATCCAAAAAAGGTTAATCCTTGACATATACAAAAATCTATTACTAAAAAAGGAAAAAAGAAATCATAATAAATACAGCTAAATACTCAACACATTTTATGCAATGCTTTGTGCATTGATTACAATAAAAATAGTTTATTGAGTTAGTTTAAAAATGCTCACATTCAAAGGTGGGCCGAAACTACAACCCGGTGGGAAGTCGGCTAGCGAATAGCTAGCTATAATCGCTACGATAAAGACAGCGATTTGGCCACGAGGATCGCTAGCTTTTTTAAGTTAGCGAAAAGCTATCGATATTTGTAAAGACAAAGACAGCGATTTGGCTACGAGGACAGCTAGCTTAATAAGCTAAAGACTCACAGGCTATTGTTGCTACCGTCATATCATAATAAAATCGCTATCAAAAAAGTTTTGGTATGTAACTATCAATCAGCTATAGATTTGTAGATATTTTGTAGCTAGCTACAAAGCTACGATATGTAGCTAGCGACACATTGCTACAAAATCGCAATGTTTAAAGTTCAATTATTCTCATAATTAAAATAGATTCAACACTAAAAATCGAATTTTTAAAGATGTTAGAGACATTAGTAAAGAATAAAATAAGAAAAAAAAAATCGCTTCAAAATCGCTATTAAGCTAGCTAGGCGCTCGCTAGTCGCTAGCTCATTTCCATTTAGCTGTATAAAAAACTATCGACATTCCGTGCTAAAATACAGATAGCTAAAAAAAAGCTGCGATATGTAGCAAGCAAATAGCTATAGACTTTTTGTAATCTTCTAGCTAGCTTAAACGCTACTGTATTAGGCACTTCAACATTTTTAGAAAAAATGTGAAATGAAAACAAAACAAACTTCATAAGTTTGAACTAAAAATCAACAGTTAAAAAATAACAAACTTATCGTTTTATTATTATTAGTTGAAAATTTGTTTAACTTTTAAACTACAAAATTAAAGCTTTTTATTGTATGATTTTTGAGGTTTTCAGCAATTTAACGTTTTTAAGAATCGCATCAACGTTTTTGGTTTTATACAAAAGCAAAAACGTTGATGCGTTTAAACAAGACCGTTATTATTTAAAACTAAATATGTAATACCAAAAATTTTATAGTAAATGGAATTTAAATAATTAGGAAACAACTAACATTTGACATAATAAGTCTGTGACAACTTTTTTTAAACATTTTATTTAATGGTAACGCAAAAAAGGGTTTTTAGAAATAATAAAATGATTTTAAAAACTCATTTTATAAAACATAAATATCGTATAACAAGAAAATGATTTTAAAAGAACTTTAAATGACTGTTTAAATTAATATTAAACTGTTTAAATTAATATTATTTAAATAATATTTTGAATTTGAATTATGCATGAGTCAACCTTAGCCCCTATATTCATTTTGTTAAATTTTAAATATTGCCTATAGTGAGGAAAAAGCAAGTAAAAATATCTCAAAAACGCTCAAAGTAACCCTCGTAACGCTCAACAACAAAGTAACGCTCGAAGTAACCCTCAAAAACGCTCAAAGTAACGGTTTACGGTAACATAATAAAAACTAAAATAAAAGAGGAAAATGCGAGTTAAATTATTAGAGTCCTACATATAGATCAAATAAATGAAATGTAATTACCGTTGCAACTTGGCCCATCCGTTTAGAGCTTTGAAGAAAGCTGTTGCATTCCGAAGGTTCATCTTTAGATCTTTTACATGCCATTTTTGATATCGATATTGATATTTTTAAAACAATATGAATAGTAGAGTGAAAGTGCGAAAAAAGCAATATCGATAAAATTGTTGGTTATGTATAGTAAATTACAATATGACAAATTAAGTCGTTAGTAAAATATTGCCAAAAATCATTAGTTGCATAACTGGTATTGCGTAATGCGGTATACTAAAGTATGTTAATTAAAACTTCTAGACAGCAATTTCATGACACGCGTTAATGCGTTTTTAATCGAGAAAACAAAAGTATTTAGATTTTTTAAATGAAAAATAAACTTTATTATAATATAGAAATAACCCAACTGTATTATAAAAATTAAAGTTTATACAGTTTTTTAATTTTCTTTTACAGATATAGCTATATATATATATATATATATATATATATATATATATATATATATATATATATATATATATATATATATATATATATATATATATATATATATATATATATATATATATATAGAGAGAGAGAGAGAGATATATATATATATATATATATATATATATATATATATATATATATATATATATATATATATATATATATATATATAGAGAGAGAGAGAGAGAGAGAGAGAGAGAGAGAGAGAGAGAGAGAGAGAGAGAGAAAGAGAGTTCTATAAATTGTTGGTTTTGAGAGTACGGAAGGTTAAAAATGATTCTTTTGACAACAAGTTACGTCACTTTTAATTACTTTTGACATTCATCTAACATTTCCGTGTTGTCATAAAGTTAAAACCATTAACTTAATTATTTTTTAAAAAAACCGCAAAAACGCAAATTTAATTGACCAGAATGTTTTTAAAAACATTAAGAATGTTTTTAAAAATATAAACAATGTTTTTATTTTATTTTTTAAATAAAATTTTTTTTTTAATTTTTTTTTAGTGTAAATCATGTGCGAGTGTTGCTATATCGACTACCTTATAGCCTGACTGACAAATAGCCTGACTCGCAAAGGAGTGCTGCTACATCGACTGAAGGTTTGGTTTGGGCAGTCAGTCTATCAAATAATAAAATAAAAATAAATAAAAAAATTCCGGTCTTGCATTAAAATTATATACATATATATATATATATATATATATATATATATATATATATATATATATATATATATATATATATATATATATATATATATATATATATATATATATATATATATATATATATATATATATATATATATATATATATATATATATATATATATATATATGACGGGATTGTATTTAGTAAATTAAAAACACCATCTAAGTTTAATTATAAATAATAATATTGTATTTAGTAAATTAAAAACACCATCGGTGTTTTTAATTTACTAAATACAATATTATTATTCATAGTTAAACTTTACTAAATAAAATATTATTATTTATAGTTAAAACTTACTACGCTCATCTACCATCTGACCAAAATTTTATTTCCATACGTCTGGAACAGTGCGCATAAACTACAACTGTTTAAAAAACTATCGACATTTCGTGCTAAAATATAGATAGCTTAAAAGCCCTAATATGTAGCTAAAGACTTTTCGTTATCTTCTAGCTAGCTAAATCACAACTATATGCAGCTATCGACATTTTGGATTCAAATCGATTGCTAAAAAGCTGCGATATGTAGCTGTCGACATATCGTAATAAAATCTTTACTTTTAAAGTTCAATTATCATTAGCATTATTTATGGCGACCTTGTAGCTAGCTAAAAAGGCTTACAAATATGAAACTAGCGATAAATCGTAATAAAATCATTGTCAATAAAACTGCATTATATAGCTAGCAAGTAGCTATCGATTTGTGGCTAGCTTGTAGCTAGCTACAAAGCTTCAATATGTAACTAGTGATAAATCGTAATAAAATCGCTATCTAAAAACTGCGATATGTAGCTATCAACTAGCTATCGATTTGTGGCTACCTTGTAGCTAGCTACAAAGTTACAATATGTAACTAGCAATAAATCGTAATAAAATCATTGTCAATAAAACTGCATTATATAGCTAGCAAGTAGCTATCGATTTGTGGCTAGTTTGTAGCTAGCTACAAAGCTACAATATGTAACTAGTGATAAATCGTAATAAAATCGCTATCTAAAAACTGCGATATGTAGCTATCAACTAGCTATCGATTTGTGCCTATCTTGTAACTAGCTACAAAGCTACGATACGTAACTAGCGATTAATCGTAATTAAATCGATAGCTAAGAAGCTGTGATATGTAGCTATCGAATAGCTATAGATACATCGCTATCTAGTTGCCAGCTAAATAAATGCGATATGTAGCTAGCGTCATATCGTAATAAAATTGCTGTCTAAAAAAATGCGATATGTAGCTATCAACTAGCTATCGATTTGTGGCTATCTTGTAACTAGCTACAAAGCTACGATACGTAACTAGCGATTAATCGTAATTAAATCAATAGCTAAAAAGCTGCGATATGTAGCTATCGAATAGCTATAGATACATCGCTATCTAGTTGCCAGCTAAATAAATGCAATATGTAGCTAGCGTCATATCGTAATAAAATCGCTGTCTATAAAACTGCGTTATGTAGCTATCAACTAGCCATCGATTTTTGGCTACCTTGTAGCTAGCTACAAAGCTGCGATATGTAACTAGCGATAAATCGTAATAAAATCGCTGTCTAAAAAAATGCGATATGTAGCTATCAAATAGCTATCGATTTGTGGCTATCTTGTAACTAGCTACAAAGCTACGATACGTAACTAGCAATTAATCGTAATTAAATCGATAGCTAAGAAGCTGCGATATGTAGTTATCGAATAGCTAAAGATATATCACTATCTAGTTGCCAGCTAAACAAATGCGATATGTAGCTAGTGTCATACCGTATTAAAATCGCTGACTAAAAAACTGCGATATATAGCTAGCGATGTATCGTTACAATATCGCAATGTTTAAAATTCAATTATTTTCATAATTATAATAGATCCAACACTAAAAATCAAATTTTTAAAGATGTTAAAGACTTAAGGAAAGAATTAAATAAGAAAAAAAAAAGCGCTCAAAAATCGCTATAAAGCTAGCTAGTCGCTAGCTAATCGCTAGCTTGCTTCCCACCGGGTATTAACCGGAAAACTAATAAATTCTTGTTCTAACTTTGCTTCTACCAAGAGACTTGTTCCACTCAATAAAAAGCTTCTTGTTCTTAACTTTAACAAACTTTCACAGATAATTTTATACTCAACGAACAAAGAATCATTACAAATGTGAACTAAAAGTTATACAAATAAAAGAGGAAAGATCGAGACCTATGTCATGCCTCAATTTTGTTATCTCTTTGCATTTAGTTTCATTGCAATGTATTACCCAGCAAACATTTAGTCTAAAAAAGACGTCTTAAATATGCCTTTTAGACGCGTTAGACGTTTTTTATACATCTAAAAGACGTCTTTATTAGACTAATTGTTTGCTGGGTAATATCCATAGCAATCTATTATGTACCCGTGCAAATAAATCTCTGATATTTATAAACTTTAACGAATATTGGTTAACGGCCCTCAAAAGTTATCTTTAAAAAAATGACAATTTTTGCCAAAGAGCTTCTTTTTCTTATTTCTTTAATAACTTAGATTGCTAAATATTTAGTTAATTAGCTTTTTGTTGTTCTGCAGTTCTATTTTAATTATACGGTGCTTTCAGTCCGTAATTCTCGCCGTAACATTTCAATCTTACTTTAATGAAGTTTTTCATAAATATCCTACTAAATTTTCAGAAAATAACTTTGCTATTCCCATAACCCATATTAAAATAAGTTCTTATCAAATTCAACATCGTGGACCTTTTGTTTAAAAAAAATTTCTTCGCATTTTTAATGATAAACTAGAATTCGTCTGAAACTGCACAATGGAAAGTTTTAGGGCTGATTCAAAACGGCATTTACTTAACATAGACTTCGATATATTAGATTTCAAATACATATTTTGAAAATAATTTAATTGTTTGAATCAAAAAATTATTTTAAATCTGTACTACATGTCTTTAACTTTTTTAATACATTTCTTCAACTTTTTTACTTTCTTTTCTTTAACTTTTTAATTTTGTTTGTTTTTGTTGTGCTTTTGTTGATATTAAATAACTAGTAATAAATATTTAGCTATATTTCATTATTTATAATAAAACACAACGCAATTTTTGTGGATTGATAACTTCTTGGTTATATATCCACCAAGTTTTCAATAACTGTTAGAGGACCTAATGCATGGAATAAGATAATCAGTAATGATATTAAAACACTTAAAACTCTTGATCAGTTTAAACAAAAACTAAAACTATTACTTTTAAATAATGAACAAACAGATAATTATTTTTAAATCTATCTATAAAAATATTATATTTTAAAACTATCTACTAATGCATACTTTATTTGTCTGGAAGGTCTAAATTCTTTAATTTTATATAGGTATTACAGTCTGTTATATTATAAAAAAAGTACTCATAAAGATTTTTAGCATTTTTAGATTTCATTAGTTTAAATAAATTTATTAGTTTTCTTAAATAAGAGAGAGAGAGGAAAAATAAAAAAAGTAATCTTTTTTGAGTTTTAATTTTTTATATTAATATTTTGTAATTTGTTTTTGAGGAATTAATATATTACACTTTATAAGAATAGATTGTAAATTAAATTTTACGTTTACTTTTTTCATGTTTTTTAGTTTTTTTATATTTTTGTTTTTCTGAATGAACTTTTAAATTTTTCTTTCAAAAAATAAAATCGAAAAAATATCTTTCAAAACTTTGAACTATTACACTATTTGGCATTTTATATAAACTTCTTTGTAATATTTTGCTTTTTTCTTAATTTTTTAATTTTCATTTTAGTTACCATGTATTTATATAAATGTCTTGACAAACAAGGGACTTGGTGATAAGACAACCCCGTCTTCTTCTCGTCCTTGCCATTTTTAAATATTTTAAATTACGGAACTTGTAAATATTTGTACGGCTAAATTAATAAAAAAAAAAAAAAAAAAAAAAAAAATATCTTTTGTTTCTTTTTATGACTTCAATTATTCCGTTGAAGAATTGATGTTAAAAGTTTCTATTTTTCATCTTGAAAGTTTTTTTCGAAAGTTTTTTTTGTGTATATACTATTTTATTGATTATTTATTTCGCATGTAAATATTTAAAACGTTTACAAAACACTAATGAAACGGGGGCTCGGCGATAAGACAATTTGTCTTCTTGCTCCTGCCAGGTTTTTATTTAATTGTAATTTCTTTTTGGTTATTTTAATTAACGGTATATATATATATATATATATATATATATATATATATATATATATATATATATATATATATATATATATATATATATATATATATATATATATATATACATATATATATATATACATATATATATACATATATATATATATATATATATATATATATATATATATATATATATATATATATATATATACTATATATATATATATATATATATATATATATATATATATATATATATATATATATATATATATATATATATATATATATATATATATATATATATATATATATATATATATATAAACTCTGCTTCTTTCTGGATTATAAACAACTTTAAATCAAACACGCACTCTACAACTATCAAGGACACTCCTAATCTTCTAAGTTTTAAAGATTAACTCGTTTTTTGCTAATATTTTAAATGGCTGCTCTTGTTTTTAAAAGATAAAATTTGAGTTACTGCAATGAATTTTTTGAAGATCTGCAAATAAGTAAAGTGCCATCATAGGTGATACCCATATGGGTATCACCTATGTTATATGGGTAGTATGGGTAGTGTTAAACTTGAAGAGGTTAGCCATATGGCTAACTTCTTCAAGTTTAACACTCAATTTCTTTTTAATTATGCTGGATCTATCATTAAATTTATTTTATCTACTTTCATCTTCGTTCATCTTACTTTCTAAACCAAATTTCTCTAATTAGGGGAGAATGGGGCACCATGATACATGGGGCACCATAAAACATTGTAACTGTGGAGGCATCTTAAAAATTGTGACAATCACTTTCATATAGTGAAACAGTTACTACTAAAGCTATGTTTTGAAAAAAAAAATTATTATTTGGCATCATTAGTGTGAGGGATCAAAATTTGTATTTTTTTGATGACAAAGTAATTTATCAGTTTTTAAAGCTCATAAACTTTAAGGTATTTTATTCAATGTGTCTATCAGTAAAAAACATTATTTTGTAAACTATAATCTATAAGCTTTTTAATTAGTTAAACAAAATTTTTGAAAAAACAAGTTGATACTAAAAATAAAGCGATTGTTTTCTATTAGCAACTATGGGGTAACTTGATACAGCATTTGTGAGGGGCCCTAAAACTGTAGAGTAGTATTCCATTGAGTCATAAACACTTCTGAAAATCATTTTTTATATATATATATATATTTAACGTCAATTTTAAAATATTTACGTAATTATAATACAAGGAGATCTCATTTCGATACTAAGCCATCATTTATTGAGCCTTAAAAATTACACTTAAAACGATATACTATCTGGTCTTCTGAAATGTGATTTGGACCATTGGATGCATTATTTAGGTTATAAATATTAATTTTTTTATATTTCAAATAAAAAATTTGCTCTTTCTTTCTTTTTTATACTTTTTATTTACTTTTTTAATGATGTTCTTAGTGTTTTCTAATTTCTAATTTTACTTTAAATAGTCTCACAAGTTTAATCTTTTATGTTTTGGTAGTTTATAGAATTTATTTTGTTGGTATAAATTTATTCTACAAATTAAACTAGTCGCTTAAAAAAAGGCGTATTAAAAAAATTGTTACGAAGAAAAAATCAAAAATGTGTCATGGTGCCCCACTCTCCCTAACTCATCACATTCTCGCTGACAAAAAATTTGTCCACATAAACAGACGTTATTTTTTTTTGATTAAAAGATTTTTCTTCTTGATTAAAAATGTCATTTACATCGGGTCTTATGATCATTGGTGCAACATTCAATCCAATCAATACCTTTTGTTTCTAAATACCATGACGTAAAGTGGTAAAAGTGGTTTTTAAGTTTTCAACTAGGTACAACCCTTGCACACATGAATGACTTTTCTGACAATTTAGCAAGATAAACACTTTAAATCATCCAAAGCATATTAGCTTTATTTTTGTTATTCAATTTTAGTTTTATTGAAACTTATATGCAGTATAAACATTCATTGAGAACGCTGCTCGTAGCAGACGCTCAACATCGCTTTTTGTTTATTTTCAGCAGTGAAACCATTTTTGACCAGAAATATATATTATTCTTTTATACTAAACAAGCAGTTTTTCTAAAACAAATAGAAAAATGTAGTTCTAGCTTTATATTTTGCATTTCTGCAATTACATTTGTTTGCTGAAAAATCTAAACTGTAGTATTCAAAGTGCCATTATACGCTTTAAACATATTAAACATCATACAATTCAACCAACTTCATATTTGCTTCTAGACCCAGGTAGCTTGCAGTTTTTTGAAAAACATTTTATAAAATTAAACCGCTTCAATATGAGGTTCAGTGGTTTTCTGATTTTGTTCCCGCTATTGTCAAGAGACCATTCTTTAACTCTAGTAAACGTGCAATCTTTGACTACTTTTAGCTTTTTAGATAACACATTGTTTAACAACTCGTCTGTCTCCACTTCTTACACAACACAATTGTTGATTAAAATAGAATCTAAAATCTCTAAATCTGTTAAGAGCGTTTTTTTTACTTGTACAAACCTCATCACCTATGTTTACCTAATTTTTTTTTACTTGTACAAACCTCATCACCTATGTTTACCTAATTTTTTTTTACTTGTAGCATTTATGATCTGACATGCGCATGGCTTTAAGAATGTTGAGCTTTGGCGTTGTTTCATCAGCATCAATGAAGCCAATCTAAAGGCTAACTACATTTGTGTAATGAAAGGTTTTTAATCCCCTGATGACTCCCTGGTCTATTAACTCATAATAAGTCAACACCAATCTAGTACCAGTTGCTGTAGTTAATAAAGAGCTAACCGAAATAGTTCTTTTAAGATACTTTAAAACAAACTCAACAGTTATTTGATTTCACGTCTAAGCTCACGTATTTTATTGGTTTTTAGTTGTTTAAACAACTGGGAACTTGTCAATAACGAGAACATTTACAAGAATTTAGGACATTTATCAAAAAGGAAAAGTAAAAAATATAAAAAGTTAATTTTTTACTTTTTAAGAACTAATTCTTTAAACATTTGTCTCGTTAAGTTACAGGGAATGCTATAAATTTGAGAAACGGCAATATGGTATGATAACACCCTGTCTACTACGTGTAATCCAAGAATTAATTTTTAAATTGTAAAAACTTTTATGTAAAAAAAATCCGAACTTTATTTAATTTTTCGCTTTATTTTAACATTAAGTCAGAATTTTCAGAATAACGGAAGGGTTTTTCGCCAAAAAATTAACAACAAAAAAATCACTTCAAATAAATAAAATTTCTAATAATTGCAGGCTCAAATAACAGAAAGATATTTCCATGAGTTTGTTAAGGAAACTACGCGGGGAATGAAAATCGCTTCGAATAAGCCGGAACTTTAAATGTCAGCCAGTCCATAAATAAGTCCACTGTAATACCTTATATTAGTTCTTGCTTATTTTTTAAAAATTCTTCATGAAATTTTTCAGATATTTTTTCTCAGATATTTTTTCAGTTTGTATTTTTTTTTTCTATATAGTAAATATATGTAAGTTTTTTAATATTATTTTTATTGCTGCGCAATAAAATTGTACAAAGACCAACAAATGCAAAAAAAAACAATTTGTACCAATGTTACCATAACTTTTTTATAAAGAATATGAATACAAAATCGACTGCATTTTCTCCAAGACAACGCTCACTAGTTTAAAACACATAAGGTGGTTATTTCCGATCAACGGCTAAGCATTTATTCCGGATAAACAATATTATAAAATATTTTAAAATATCTCAATACCCTTTCATACGCGCATGCTCAAGTTAAAATAAAATTTATTAATCAAAATGCGAATGCTCTCTCACTTAAATAACTCTTTCATAAATTCTCTCATAAATTCTTTCTCGTAAGTATTCTTTTAAAGACGTAAATTAATAAATCTCTTTACTCTATAAAAAGCTACTATGAGCGATGATGTGGGATATGAGCTAGAACTTTTTATAAAGGTAAAAATTATTTTACTGTCTGTTACATTTGTTTAACGTAGTTTTTGTGTTAACAAAATCACCCACGTTTAATTAAAAACAATTTAAATTGTTTTCACTAATTTTTTAGTTAATGCATTTATAGAAATAAATTTAGGTGAAGCTGCTATATGAAATAAAATTACTAACATATTTAGGCTGAATTGAGTAAAACAAATTTAGTACAGTTAGGAGTGTTGGTTTAAGCTATTTTTTAATTTATTTCATATTTGTAAATAGTTGTAAATATATACTGTATTGTGAAATGTTATTATAATAGCTACTTGTAATAAAACACTAGTAAATTTATTTAAAATTTTACAGGCTATCAAGTTGTCAATTCTTTCATTTTTTTTTTTTTTTTTTTTTTTTTTTTTATGAATCTTTTTCATTAATTTATTTTTTTAATGAATTTCTACAAATGTTTTTTTTTTTAAATATTTGAATTGAGTTAAGGTTTATTTCACTTCAAGTTTTTTTTTTTTTGCAATTTAAGTTGTTTTAGATAATTTAAATAAATTTGACAATAACTTTTACAATCTTTACAATCTCTCTTACAATCTTTCTTTTTTTAAGCTTAATTGCACTTACCTTTATTGGTTGATAAACTGATTTGAGAACTACGTTTTGAAGTAAACCATACAATAGAAATATATTAGTAAAGTTACTGATAACTATTTCTAATTTTTAGTATTTAAATTTATAGATAGCTCTTACGCAAAATGGTTAAATGGAATGATGTGTGATTGGAAAAGCTATGGACTGAGAAAAGGAACTCTTATTGTGCGGTCTTAAACCTTGTTTAAGTAATTTAAAATACAGTTTAGTTAGTTTTCAAGCTCTTTATCTTTAAATATAAATCAGTTTCTGGTATTAGATTTTCAAAAACAGATTGATATTTATATGTAGGCTCAAACAAAAACTAAAAAATTAATCAATTAGAGTATTTTATAAATTATAAAAGTTTCAGCTGCAGAAGCTATGTGTATTCCCAGATTGTAAAATAATATATAGCAGATAGTAGAATAAGTAAGGGATTTTAGTATAAGTTGCAAAAAAGCTTCATATATTTTTCAAGATAGCCTTGGACCATTGTTAGAAAAAACCAGTGTTACTGTTAAACTTAATGTTATAACTTAATGTTATAACATTAAGTTTGCTTTCACTTTGATGTTTGATGCAACTACTTAATACTGTCGAGTGGGGTTATTTTGATAGGTTTTTGTAGTTTTTTTTTTTTTTTTTAATTCTGATAAAACAGATAGAATTAAAATTAAATTCAGATAATAACAGCAGAAAAAAAAGATTCTTCTGATTCAACTATCTGACATGAGTTAAATAATATAGACTTGGTGAGAAACCTAAAAACCAAGTATTTTACTTGGTTTTGAGCTTTCTCGCCTAAAAACTATGTATGGTTATCTCATTAGAGCTGTTTAACTATTCATAATGGAAATGCTAGAGCAGAGTGATGTTTATCAGATAATAAAAATACCAGGGATGCAGAGTTCCAAAAAGGACTCTGGATTTGAAAGTCACAAAAAGATTACTTCTTTCTAGTTTTTGGTATCCAGTTTTTGGCTTTAAAAATATAAAAAAATTTATGGGCTCCTAATAGGGAAAAAATCAAAACTTATAGATCAAACAAAAAATCAACTTTTGAACCCCGAGTCCTAGGTATAATGACGGCAAGGACTCTGGGACTCCAGAACTCCAAGCTTAAAAACATTAAGTTCTAATTCTTTAAATATCATAAATTTTTTTCTTATAGCAGATCACTAATCAACCAACAAGTTTAGAGCTACTGGACACAAGAGGCCATGAAAAAATAAAGTTATAAAGCCAGAGTCCTTTTGGGACTCTTCATCCCTGAAAAATACAGGCTTAAAAGCAAGTAAAACTAAATGAAATTTGAGTGAGAATTAAAAGAATATGCAAGACGTTGCCATGGAGCAAATAATGTTTGTGCTCTCTCTAAATACGTTGTTTAAGCAGTTTAAAATATTCATAGATTATATATATATATAAAAAAGAATAAATGTGAATGCATGAATAGAATTTGTGACTATATGCTGAATTTATTGAGAAATGTTAAAAAAGTTGTTTAATACAACAAAAGGGAACTATATCAATTGGGAAAACCTTAAAAATGGCGAGAAAAATGTGGATCTAGAGTTTCAGCTTGCTGAAATAATGCTGGATGAAGCGATGAAATCTATGCAAAGTGCCACCAATAATGAAGATATGATATATATAATAATTATCCATACCCTGTATTGAGTATGGGACAATACAGGGTACGGGTAATACAGATGAACAGGGCAAAAAAAGTCTCAAATGTGCTAAAACACATACAAATAAACAAATATTGAGTAAATGAATAATTATTTGTTTAAAAGAAAAAAGTAAAATTAAATAATCATTCAGAAAATCAAATTAGTTTTAGTAAAAAAAAGTTGTGTTGCAGTTAAGACTTGCAGACAAGACTTGAACCTCTTGTTGAATTATTTTAAAATTTATTTTGGTATTTGAAATTATTTGGTGATTATGCTAATTTATTTTATATTGTTTTAGACTTATAAAGAACTTTTTGTTGCATGTTGAAAAACAAAAATTTGTAAAAAATTTAGGTCTTCAAATAATATTTTTTATGATTTATTATGTTTTTAAAAACTTTTTTATAAAAGGTTGAATTTTTTCATTTATGAAATTTGTCTTCTTTTTTTTAAGTTGTTGCTATATATTGACAATTATATTTGTTTGCACCTGGCAGTAAAAATTATGTAATCAGATGCATTGCATCATTATGCATTTATTTTCTGTGTACACTTTGTAAGTTTTAAAATTTAAGTTAGTTTATGTGTCATATTTTATATAAAACTAACAGTATTTTTTATGGGCTAAATTTATATTAATTTATTGCTCAAATAATTTTTAAGAATTTTTAAACTTAAAATTTAAAAACTTTTACATTTTTTGTTTGTTTGTTTGTTTGATAAACAAAAGCAAAAGCAATTAGAAAATAGTTTGCTTATTTTCCAAAATAACTGTTTATCAAGAGCCAAGAAATTAATTTTGTATTTTTTGTCATACCCTTCTAGCAATCTATGTAGACGTGAAGGAGTACTTTGTAGTGTTGATCTAACAGTCTAAAGCTGGTACATAGCAAATAGCCTCAACAGGTACCTTGCCATTAGATAAATTGTATTACAATATAAAAACTAAACCATGTTGTTAATAAAATTTGTTGTTACAAATGATAAGCTGTTGGCACTAAATCAGGCAATTAAGCCATCACTTTCCAGCTAGTACTTCTTCAAATAATGAAACTTTTAGATGTTGTTATTAGTAGGTCAGCAGGCAATTGCATGAATCTTTCGGTTTTGCTCCGCACATTTGACTGGCTCAATCCAGTCAAATATGTGAGGCAGAAGTTGCATTATTTAATAAAGTAGATACTATCTAGAAAGTGTTGCCTCATTTGCCTGATTTAGTACCAACAGGTTATTATTTGTTCTGTTCACTATACAACAGAATCCACAATAAAAGGTTCAACTACAAGGAGGCATTCTGACAGCAGAAGTGATTGCTCTTTTTTGATATAAAGCTTAAAGAGTTTTGTACCACCAACATTTTTTTTTTGCAAAAGCATAGGCAGGAGATCATATACAATGGTGATATATATATTGCTAAAAGTTACTTATAGAGTAAAAAATGAATAATTAGAAACAAAAACAGTTTCATTTTTTGCTGACCCAATAATTAAGTATTTGCACTAAGTAATTGATAAATATTTAATAATTAGTAAAATAATACAATTATAAATAAGGATTATTTAAATTGTATTATAGCTATTATAGTTAAACACCATGGTTAAATAATATTGTACATGTTTTTAAATTAAAAAAAAAAAATACATGGTTTTTTTATATTTGCAATTTTTGTAAACATTTTTATTAACATTTGTTAAAAGCTTATTACACTGAGATATTATATATCAGTGTATTTATATTGTAACACCATGGTTAAATAGTATTGTACATGTTTTTAAATTTAAAAAAATAGTACATGGTTTTTTTATTTTTGCAATTTTTGTAAACATTTTTATTAACATTTGTTAAAAACTTATTACACTGAGATATTATATATCAGTGTAATAAGGTTTTAACAAATGTCATTTTGTAAATAGGCTATAGAAACATAACAATGTTTTTGTTATATTTTTGGCACTACACTATTTGCAACTATATGCTACTATTTGCTACCTCACTGCTACCTACCATTAATAGTAGGGTAGCTCCACCAAAAATATCTAACTGTGGCTCTGGATGTGAATGTAGAGCCATAGTCCCCTTATTTTATTTACTGGACAAGATGCATAATTATTATTTGTTTTTTCTTTATTAGTCTTCAAAAGATGGAAAAGGTCTTGGCGACTGTATTCATTGTCATCGCTTTATGATGGTTTTGGCTTTAAAAGGAGTTACTGCTAATGTCACTACCATTGATTTGCGTCGAAAACCAGAATTTTTTGTTAAGTATTATGCAGGAGTCAAATTACCATGCTTAGTTCATAATGGTAAAGTTATTGATGATATTATTGAGATAGAATCACATATTGAAAAACATTTTCCTGATCCTCCACTTGTATTACTTGATGACCATGGTGCATCAAAAGCAGGAGAAAAAATTTTCCAAAAATTTTCTGCTTTAATAAGAAATCGAGATCCTGCAGGAGAAGAAAGGTTGCGTGATTCATTAAATGAAGAATTACAGAAGTTAGATGCTTTTCTAGCTTCCTCAAAAAAAATTCCGGGTCCATATTTGGCCGGAAATGAAATGACAATGTCAGATTGTGTTCTACTACCTAAGTTGCATCAAATGCAAATAACATTAAAGTTCTTTAATGATTTTAGTATTCCAAAGAATCTGGTCTACTTGCAAAATTACTTAAAAGTGGCAAATGAAAATGAAGTTTTTGTAAAAACTTGTTGTGAAACCTCAGAAATACTTGAAGGTTGGAGTGCACATGTTGGGGATCCTAAAAAAGTACAAAAGCTTCGATCTATTAAGCATTAATGTTAAACCATTTAAATGTTCCTTATTATCTTCAGTCGTAAGGTAAAAAATATCATTTATGTATAAATGATTTAAAATAAGATTCATAATGCACAAGCTAAAGGTCACAGGATGCACGAGCCATAAGACACGAATTAAGCAAGTTTACATGAGACACATGTGACACAAATTAAGCAAACTAGTTAGTAAAAAAATTGTGTTTGTACTAAGCTCTGTTTCAATTTATTATTAACTTTTATTATTTAGCGCGACAAATATATACATATAAAGTGTTAATATTATTATCCATTTTATTAGGATTTTACTTGAGTTTTTTATTTTTTAGTTCTTATTTTATCATAAGAAAAGCAGAGGTATACTATTATTGATAGAATTTCGTTATGGAATTCTCCATATAATATAGTTAAATAGAGTCTATTTGAAAAAGTCTAATATAAGTAAAGTTTATGTGTTTTTAATTATTGTTCTATGTTTAACTGTGAAATGTATTTTGAAATTATAACATTGAAACTTTTGTCTATTAAAAAAGAAAATATTAAAGTAACTTCTTTCTCTTCTGTTCAATTTATTTTTCTTCTGTTTATCTTTAATTTCAAAGATTTTTTGCAAATCTTGACATGCAGTTTGGAGTTTTTTGCCATCTTGTATGCAGCTTGGAGTTTTTAAAGGATTGACAGTGACATGTGAATCCTTTAAAAACTTATATAAGTTTACCGATTTCAAAAAGTTTTCCAAAGTTGGAGGACAAAAAAAAGTCTCTATATGATAATATATAGTACAAAATTTTTCAATGCTTAAATCCGTCCGTTTATATAATTAATATAAAAATAAGTACACTAAAAGCGTTATTAGATTCTCTAATGAAAAATCCTTATTATACATTTTACTTGAAGAAGAATCTTTTGCTTTAATATGGAGATTAAAGTGATACTTGTTCTAAAAAAAACAACAGTTGTGGCCCTAAGAAAAGCAAAACAATCATTGTCTTATTGGAATACATTATAGAATTTTATGTAAATCAGTATTAGTTATCCTTTCAGTAAAATAGTTTCAAGTTACATAAAAATATAATCATGTATATCGAAGGTGACAATATCAGTCAATATATGTCGTGCCGAATTCGCGTAATCGGCAGCTTTTTAGCTGTTTTGATTTATACGTTCCTCCATAACTTAGAGATCTCTTAAAAAAAAAAAAAAAATACATTACCTATAATAAAAAACGTTTTAAATAATTATAAAAAGATTGTGACCTAAAATTTAGATTATATTTTTACTTTCTCATCACTTGTTTGACTCTTTTATCTGTGTCTTTTTTTAATAATATAAAACATTCGTAAAAATGTAATGTTTTTTATTGCCTTGATTTTTTATCGCCTTTAAAAATTGCAACACTGCAATTTATTTCTGCAATTTATTTCCCACACTGCAATTTATTTCTAAAAACAAGAAATGCATTTCTTGTTTTAAGAAATATATTTCCTTGTTGCAATTTATTTTTAAAAAAAAGAAATGTATTTCTTATTTTGAGAAATATTTTTCTTAAACTATGGTCAATAGATTTACGATTTTGCTGTGAGTTCTAATGAGTTATGAATTAGTTTTTGAGTTTGACAGTAACAAACATGTATCAAAATGGAATGATTTAATAAATCTTTATGAGTTGAAATCTATCAATCTTTTAAAGCTTAGCAAATTAAATGAAATTTTTATCTCGCCAAAACCAATTGAGCGACAGAAAATTAACAGTTATTTACAAGTTTTCTGTAATGAAACAATTGCTCCACTTAAAGACCATCCATCTGTTATAAAAAATTAAGTTATTGGCATCATCAAATTTATTTATGGTTCACAATTTATCAATTTGAGAAAACTTTTAGCAAGCTTCACCAAGGTTCTGGAAGAATCTATTTTATTACTGCTCTGTTATTGAAAAAGGTATTTATGACCGACATTAGTACTTTAGCAAATATATTTCTAAAAAATCTAGCAATAATAAACTTTTCAAGATTCAATAAGGAGTTTAGGCAAAATGTTTTAAAACTGTCATAACAATGAGTTTTTATTTAAATTTTATTATATTATATATGACGTGTACGAGGAGCCTATTTGAAAAAATCACTGAATCCGAGTAAATTGATTTTGAAAAAACAAAAAACTTATAGTTGCACATCAACAGAAATTGATATTTCATTCACTTATTTTTAGGAACTTTTAACTGGTCTAATATATGATAGATTTCAGTATATGATAGATTTCAGTATATAGATTTCAGTAGAATCTGGAAATGGAATCAACTTAAAAGTTTAATATTTATGACTTAGCGAGTTTTGCATTCCTCATCTTATAGTTTATTGTAGTTACTTTTCAGACAGCTTTTATATATTGTTATTGTCGTTTCAGTTTTTTTGCTCTGTATGTTTGCACTCACTTTACTTATTAGCGCCTCACTCGGCCTCCAACCAATCAAAATTTCGGCGTGTTGTCAAGGCCTGTATTTCTAGAACGCCATACTTATAACCCATTTATTCACGTAAATAAGTAGAAAAAAATCATCTCCTAAATAAAGATTTAAATTTTTCGACTATTTTTTTAAACAAATTTTCTTAAGGGGGTTAGACACACGAGGGGGGTGTAGGGGTGTATCTAAATCTCAGAGCCGTCCCTCTAGGGATAACTCTGCATGTCCCTTGTTTCTAATGTTTAATATCAATAACAAAACAAAAATTGAAGAGTATGGCAAGTTAAAACTTATTACGTAATATTTTTTTTTGAACAAAAACATTACGTAAAACATGACAATATTAGGTACAACCTCATAATCGAAGATTTTAATTTTAAACAGAGAAATATATTTAAAAGGAGCCATTTAAATCAGATTCATTGAAAAACTTGGAATGTTTTGATTGGAACCTGGTAAACTAGAAAGTTTACTTTTTGATTTTTTATCGCCTTTAAAAATTGCGAATTTTACATAGCTGTTCTTAAGTATAGGACACTACTAGAGTACCGCAATTTATAAATAAACGTCGATAACGAAACTTACTGCGGTTAAAGCGAAAAGTTTTTATTTTTTAAAAGCTCGTATTAAGTTTTTGGTAAAACTTATTAACAAACACGTGTAGCCAAAGCGGTAAAAATAAATATTTAGAAGATGGAGTTTTCGCAACAAGCTTCACCAAAAATATTATTTAGTCCACATACTACGAATGAAAATATTAACGATTTATTTGCTTCTATTGCGGAAAAGAAAAATTTGCTCGTAATTATATTTAATTAATTATTTTTATTATTACCTTATTTTATCTCAAACAAAATCTTTGTTATCCAGTCTTTACTTCATTATTACAATAATTTTGATATTCTTATTATATATATATTGATAAAGTATAAAATTCAATATAATCATATAGAATTATTACAAATCGTTTTTAGAAGCTATTTCATTATATAAATTGGGACCACAATTTGGAATTGAGCATATTAATCATCACAATCTTGCTATTGCAGTTACAATAAAAGGATAAGACTTGCCTGAATGATGAGTCACTCAAGATTAAATTTTGTTTGATGGAACAAAAAATAATAGTTCTCTTAGAAAGTAGTGATTGACCTAAACAGGAAATACACCATAAACAAAATTTCGGGTGTACTGTTTCAATAACAAAGCCAACATCTCTGCAAACTTAACCAAACCACTACTAATATTTTGGCTTAACATAACTAATTTCATTAGAAAGTTTTATCTGAAAATGCAATTTTATATTTGTTGCTTACAGATAGACAGAGGTTAGGTGACAGTATTCTGTATGTGTTTCATACAAGTACAAATAAGGGATTTATAATGATAGAGAATGGAAACAGGAGTAAAATATGGTAAGCGCAACTTTAGCAGATGCTAGATTTGCAATCGATTGTATATATTGTTTCTATGAGAGGTCAGTGGTAAATGGTAACCTGAGCAGGTGTAAAGTAAAGTAAGATTGTTGCCATTCATTAGTATAGAAATATTAACAATTTTATAATAGTTGTTAGTTAAGCAGAGTTGCAGCCCTCAGAAATAAAATTGGGGTATGGCAATGCCAACCTAAAAGTGTTTGAGATCAGCAAAAAATATCTGACCTTGATTCTATGTACTATGGTAACCCTTTTGTGTCAAATTTTTTTTACCGATCTGATGCCAACCTCTTACAGTTTAAAGTCGGCAATTAATTGCCGATTTCAATTTTTCTATTTCTGAGTCGCTGCAATTAAGTTTTGTTTGGGTTAAAAGTCACCAGCCACTGCAAGAAGTAGCTATCACAGAAAAGAAACTAGATTTAAACTGTTTGTTTATAGCAATCTAAAAGTGATGACTTTTTGTCAAGATAGTTGTGTTATCAGTAAATAAAGTCATTTTACAGGTTATGAGAAAGATTCTTAATTAAGGATAAAACCTTGTGGTACCCAAAAAGTTACTGGAGAATAAAAGTGCTGACCATCAAGAACAACTTTAGTACTACTATTTCATAGAAATGGTTCAATAATTAAAATTTTTTTCTAGATACATCATATTAAAACTTAGTTACTGCTGTTACAAATGAGCGATTCAGATACGAAGTTCTTAAGTCATTGTTTTTGTATCTCAAATATAGCATACTCCCATACTTGGCTAATTTTGAAATCCTTTATCACTTAAAGTTAACTTTCAAAAATTATAACTTATAAGCCTACAAATAATACTGAAGAAAAAAATACTGTTGTACAAGAGTACATCTTGTACTCTAGTTTGGAGCCCTAAACTTTTGAAATATATAAGTTGCCTAGAAAAAGTGAACTGTCTGCACAAGATTCAAGTTTGTTATTTTTTTGACATAAAGTTGTGCATAATCTTGTTGATTTACCCTTTTTCTGATTTTTCAACTTTTTCTCATTTTAACTAAAATACTTTACAAGAAGTCATTCATAAAAATTTACTTCACCTTTTCGGTCCCAGACAAAAAACATTAAAATGATTGTAAGTGAAATGTCATCATCGATTTAACAAAAAATAAAACTAATTGTCAGAATTTTATAAATAAAGCCTTGTTTTGTTTGTTAGAAAAATGTCAGCTAAACAAATTTTTTTAAACTCTAACTTTTCTTAGCCTTGGTCCCATGATCAAATGCAGTTTTCAGCGTGGTTACACTTACTAAAAAATGTCATGACCTGCCTAGTGGGTCACAGGGACTGAAAGGGTGAATGTAATAAATAGAACTACAGGAATAATGTCGAAAAATGAACTTCAGATTAGTGTCGAATATATTAAAAAAGCCTACCGTAAGTAATAAGGAATAGTGTTGCAAATGAATTTAATGAATAGTGTTGAAAACAAAAAAAAAAGAATACTGTAGCAAATGAATTTAATGAAAAGCGTTCTAAACCAAAAAAAAGGAATAGTCTCACAAATAGTAAAAATGGAATAGTGTCTTAAATAGTTGATTTCAGCAATTGCTTTCTTGTTTTGCTTATCTTCATAGCATACACCTTTTACGGAAAAACAAAAGAAAAAAACAAAAGAAAAAAAAAAGAATAATGAAAGAAAAAACTGCTATCAAACACCAAACCCTCAATTGATGTAGCGGCACTCCTTTGCGGCAGCAGGCTATAAGATAATTTGTATATGTACTGAAGCTCCTGGCAACAGGCTATTTCAGTATGACATCAGATATGTTATCTAAACACACATTTATAGTTAATATTTTTTATTTTACTTTTATGTTACTTTTCATTGAACTCCTTTAAAACATTATTCTTTTTTTCTATTTTCAACACTATTCCTTAAACTTATTTGCCACACTATTAATTTTTTTTCGTTTCCAACACTATTCATTAAACTCCTTTGCAACATTCCTTTTTTTATTTTTGACATTATTCATTAAATTCATTTGCGACATTATTCCTTATTCTGTTATTTGACAATCAGTTATGTGATAATTTGTGACACTGTTCCTTTTTTACATTTTCGACAATCAAATTTGTGACAATAAAAAGTTTGTGTCACTATTTTGCCACGCCAATAAATACACTAATGATACAAAATAATCTTTTTTACAGCAAAAGAGTTATCAAAATATGGAACTCACTTTTTGATCGCATAGTAAATTAACCTTCACTGCCTGCATTAAAATCGAATTTAAAAAAGTCTTAATTTGTTTTCTTCACTCTTACTTGAGTTTTATTTTTATTGGTGTTAGATTAGAGTAATTTAGTAATTACCTGTCTTACCTTTTTGTATTTTGTACAATTTTAAATAAAATAAATAAATGAAGGGAGTTTATGGAGAACATCATCATGTCAGACTTTATTGAAACTGATTGGTATGACAAAAGCACTTGCCTCACTGCTTCCATTTGTAACACAGCTCTGCATATTCATTACTAAAATGAGTGAAGCAAAAACCTTGAGTAAAGTCAAGATGAGACAGCTTATTATATATATTAAGGTGGCTTTTAAAACAAGATTTTTGAAAAAAATCTCCTCCCACCCCCTAAGTGTGTAGTATATAATACAAAAACACTAGGTTTAAAAAATTTTTGAAAAAAAAAAAAAATTTAAGGAGTTGCTCAAGACCCTTAAATATTGGGCGGGTCCCTAATATTATTAAAAAAAAAAGATCAAAAGTATGTTAACCTGGTACTCAAAAAAAGCGAAGTTAAATAAAGATTTTAAAATTAATAATTATTTTTTATAAAAAAAAAATAAAAAAAATAATAACTATTAAAAAACTTGTTAATATTAACTTTTTTATTTTTAGTTAAAAAACTAAAAATAGTTTTTATGCAAAATTTAATAATTTTATGCAAAATTATGCAAAAATGTAAATTAATAATTAAAAAAAAAAATTCATTTTAATCTAGGCATATCATGGATTGTTAATATAGAAAAAAGAAACAGATAGGAGAGGAAAAATCACGATACTGCATTGTCACATGTAGATAAGCTGAGAAAGGAAATCTTTTTTTTCCCTTGACAAAGTGATCCAAGAAATTGTTATATGATTTGAACTGCTTTATTTTCTTGCTGAAAAAATATGCCATTCTTACTCCAATCTTTTGAAAAATAAGTAGGAATTTCAATTTTATGGGTCATTACTATGATGGCATTAATAAAGAAGAATTCATACTTGAAAGAAAAAGACTTAAAAGCTCTATTTCTGTTCCACATTAAAAGACAAAACAAAAACATGGATGGATGGTGGCCCATTTTAATTCTTGAAGTTCAATCTAAATTACAGTCTTAAAAGCTCAGTTCCTAATATTGTTAAACTGCATCAAGTTTATCTTACAATTACTGTAAGTATGGCTAGTTGTGAAAGAAGTTTTTCAAAACTAAAGTGATAAAAAGTTACCTAGATCTACAATGAGTACTCACCTTAAAGAAACCATGCCATACTATCCATCGAACAGAAACTAAGTAATTAAAATTTCAAGACTTTAAAAGCTTCATTGATGACTTTGCTAACAGAAAAGTTGATATTTTGCAGTTAAAAATAAAGTTATAAATATTCTTGTAACTGATTAAGCATTTTGATGCAAATGTTGTTTTTTTTATGGGGAGGGGGGGGGGTAATTCAGATCAGATTTTTTCTAAACCTAAAATACAAATATTTATATTTGTATTTGGAAAATGCCTGTTACACATATTTGTATTTGGAAATCTAAAACTGATGTATTTGTATTTGATCAAATGTATTTGACCCCAAGACTGGCCAGATATGACCATTATTTTTTCTTTTCAGGTTACTTAAATCGATATCTTAATTTCCCTCCATTTAAATCAGCAATTTTTAATTTAAGTCATCATTTTATTTATTTTTAATATTTTTTATACAAAATTTTTATTTTCAGATTGAAAAAGATTTAAGGAAGCAATTAGGCCTTAAAAAATGTAATTATTAATTTTGATAATTTTTATTGCAAAGCAGCGACGTATCCAGTCCAATTTTGATACCGGTATACCGGTATGGGCCCTTAAATTTCTGTCCAAACTGAATTTAAAACAGTTTTATATTAGCACCTAAAAAATTTAAATAAAATAATTCTTTATTACTTATTGTCTTGCTGTTTTGTGATAAAATTTGTTATGATGGTTATTATGATAATTATGATGATAAAATATTTTATGTTATCAATGTCGCTTAGAAAAACTAACATTTGAAAAACGACTTTTAAAACACATTATAAATATATTTTCAGTCAATCAAAATGCTTAATTCGAATTCACATAGATGAAATATGGAATAAGTTACAATCAGATTAAAATGTAAAACGCATGTTTTGATTGGATTAAAATATGAAACACTTAGCATTTTATATTTTTAAATAAAAACAATAACATTTTAAAAATACTCTAATATTAGTTTCTCCTTCGTTTATGTTTTCATAACTATAATTTACAATGCGATTAAACTATATGAGCTTTAAACCTTTTTATTTCAACAGTAAAATTGCATTAAAAATATTTTAAATAATAAAATAAATAAAAGTTTTTAAAACATAATAACATAATAATCACATCAAAAAACTTGATTTGAAAAGTAAGAGAAGAACAAGAAAAAGTTATTAATTTTTGAATGAATGAATTAAAATTTTGAATGAATTGACCTTGTTATGCAATAAATACACTGTAATAAAACTTTTTAGCCTATATAAAAGAAACATAATATTGTTTATTAAATGTCATAGTTATCACTCATTTATAAAATGTTGTAAAGTAATGTAAAATTAAATGTTATAGTTATCGCTTGTTTATTAACGCTTCTCTTGCTAGTACCCGTGAGTACTCATAGGAAATCTCCTGTGAGTACACAAATTTATTTCCTTATTGCATCTTGATTAGCAATAAGAAAATAAATTTGATTTTACTTTATATTAATAAGTGAATAAAGCATGTAAATGAAAATTAGTGGCAAATCTATGTTGCCCAAAAAAACGGTAAGCCCAAAAAACTTCTGGATACGTCACTGCAAAGTATAAATTATATTTGTTTAATGTTTAAAATAGTTATTCTTTTATTTAATAGCTTTACAACTACTTGAGCAATCGGTAAGTCCATGTTATAAGCCTGCTTCTTCTCTGCTCAGAGAAGCAGGTACACCTGGACCATTCTTGCCATCTGAAAAACGTCAAAGTTATGGTAATTTTTTTGTGTGATTATTTTATATATATGTATATATATATATATATATATATATATATATATATATATATATATATATATATATATATATATATATATATATATATATATATATGTATATATATATATGTATATATATATATATATATATATATATATATATATATATATATATATATGTATATATATATATATATATATATATATATATATATATATATATATATATATATATATATATATATATATATTAGGGTGGTGCAAAAAAATTTTTTTTTTAATTTCTTTATGTGACATTATGTGTAGGAATAACAATCGTGAAGTTTGGGCATGATTGAATAATTTTTAAAGGTTGCTCATCAACATCAAGTTTTTTACTTTTTGGGTTTGAGTTCTCTTTTAGTGTGCAATCCCAAATTTTAAATAAATTATGATACATTATTGCATTTTAACTCTTACTGTATATTAATCCAAAACCATGCAGTATTTTTTAAACTGAATTATATATATTATTGTTTACAAATAAAATAATTGAAGAATAAAGTAATAAACTTCTGGTTTATAATAGCGTATTTGTGTTCACTATAGTAAAGACAAATTTAAAAAACAATAATAGTTCCAAAAAATCTTAAAAATTGTTAGAGTTTTAGGTTTCATTTATATTTCAGCTTCTTTGCAAAAAATTATTGTAATCTATGAAAACAAATTCATTGGTTTTTGTTTCCATCGTTTTTTGATGACTTGGTTCCATCGATCAACAAAGATTTCTGTGGCAGAGGAAACTTTGACCTGTGTTCAGAGACTACCTGCAACAAGAATTGCTTTTGTTCTTCATTTTTGGTAATTGAACAATTAAAATCCTGAATTAGTTTTACTCCTCTTTCAGCCGTATCATTAACAACTCATAGACTTTTTACAATTTTTTCTGCCTGTTGAAACTTTTCATTTTCGGTCCACTTGTCAGGATCAACAGTTGTCAAAAAAGTAGTTGGTAATTCCAAAATGTTGAAAAAATTAAGGTATTCTCTGTTACAAAACTTTCTATTTGCAGATTTTCTATTGAAGTTAAATCGATTTTTATTCTTTTCTGTGGTTCATCCTCTCCAGCATTTTGTAGAGCCAAAACCATTTTTGCTTTTGTTTCCTTGCTGATCTCCTTATCAAAAAAAGCCAATGCTACCATTTCTTCACTTAGATACCATAAATGCCTCGAAAATGCTGTTGCTGCAGCTGTAAAAATTCCATTGTTAATGGCTTTATATTGAAAAACAGTCTTCAAGAAAGTGAGATCATTCGACGGAGCAAGTGTTGGATTGGTACATGATATCCAAAATTTGGTGTACACCAAACTAGCAAACAAGCTAATACCTCGAAGTGATTTTTCTTCTTTTGCCGTTAATTTGAACTGCCTTTTGAACATCCATATTTTCATTGAATATAAAATTTTGGCCATCCACCTTCCTCTGTGTATGGCTCCGGGAGCCATTACATGAGCCCCACGAGGAGGAACATCACCAAGAAACAACAAGGTTAGTTCCAACAATTCCTTGTAGTCGTCTCGATATTGTTAAAGATAAAGATAAAGATAACTGAAAATTCATATTACAGGATATTTCTGAAAATCAAAATATAACCTGAGTAAAACAATTGTTATCACAAAATAAATTTATTTTTTTAAATATATATATAAGTTATTTTTACTTAACTATGAAGAAACTTAAAAAAAAACTTATCCTAAAAGAAGCAAATAAATCTTCATTAAAAAAATAATGAAAAATAAAGTAAAAATAACTAAAACTAAATTAAAAAAAATAAAATTAAAACTTAACTAAAATAAATAATAAACTATAATGATAAGATTATTTAAATTATGTTTGGAATAAATCTTTACTATTTTTTTAATAATATAATACTATGCAAAACTTTTTTAAAATAAAGTAACAACTGACATCTAATGATTGTTTAACAAATGAGCATGTTTAAAAGTTAAAAAAAAGGTTCTTAATTATTCTTCACAGTAACGTAAACAAAAGAAAAAATAACTAAATCGTTTATTTAAAAGTTTGATATAATTTTTTTTTAACATTTAAAGACATTTATAATAAAAAATAGATACTTTAAATATAATATAACTATTAAAAAATATATATTATTATTATTTTTATAATGGTTATATTAAAAAATATATATTATTAATATTTTTATAAAAAATCATAACCATTGATTTGACTTAATTAAAATACGTTTCAGTAATATAAAAACAAAAGTAAAGATCAAAGTTATTTAATTCAAATGGCTTTCAAAAAAATTTGTCTTTTTTTCTTCTCAACAAAAGTTTTCTACTTTTCAAGTGAATTAACTTTAATGATTCTTATATAAAGTTTATTTAAGAGACCATCTCTGTTTAAAGTTGTCGTTTATAAAATTTTTTTTTACAATTTTAATTTTTTTTATATTAATTATTACAAATTCTTATAGAATTAAGTAATATAAATAAAAGTTTATACAACCTTTGATGATACTTCAATTAAAATCATTAGCTGCTTTATTTTCAAGTGTTTTGCTAATATAACAACATCAGGTAAAGATAAATATTTCGAAGTTATTTATTTGCAACATAATTAAAAACCTTTTTTCAGTGCATTTGTTGAAAACCATGGTTAAATGATCAAAACATAATATTATTTGTGTGTTCATATAAAGGCTTGAAATCGCACACCTTGGCTTATATATATATATATATATATATATATATATATATATATATATATATATATATATATATATATATCAGAATTGCATAAGTGAGTTATTTTTCACTTTTGCAAACATAAGTGCAAAGCTGTTGCAGAAACTGCCATAATTGCGCCAAAAGAATTAGCAAAGTTTGGCATAATAGCAAATTACTATGAAATTACAATATTATAATAGTTTCAAAATAAAATTATATTATTAAATAAATCAAATCAACAAAAAGAGGTCGAACAACAAAACAGTTTAATGAAATGAGTTCTCACACCAAAAGACGATTGATAGCAAATATATCTTTTGATTCAAAAACGAAATCCATCGAAAAAAATATTTTTTATATTGTATTAATGAAGAATCTTTTGCATACTTCTTGAATAATAACTATTCAAAAAGTGTTTATAAAAATACTCACAAAAAAGCACCAGGCAGATTTCCACTATAAATTTATATATCACTGACCATATGTACATACAATATTTTCTAAATTTTGTATTTACATATGGTCGGTGATATATAAAATACAAACAGTATTTTTTGGCATAACGTCAAAATTTTATGCAAGATTTTAGAAATTGATGAAGAAATTGCAATCAGATTTAATTACGTTATTAACAATATTTTGCCTATAAAATAATTTTAATAAGATTATTTTATAGCATTTTCAGAATTTGTTTTCAGAGTTGTTTTATAGCACTTAAAGTACTACTTTAAGTGCTATAAAACAACTTAATATAGTATAATATAGTATTATACTATATTAATATAGTATTAATATAGTACTTAATATAGTATTAATATAATATAATTTACTTAAAGTAAATTATATTATATTAATTCATAATAGCAAATTATTATGAATTTATTATGAAATATTATAAAAGTTTCAAAAGTAAATTATATTATTGAAACTTTTATAATATTTTAATTTTTCAATGTGAAGCCGAAACTAAAATTCTAAATAGGATTAAAAAGTTAAAAACATATAATCTGTATGAAGTCAAATTAAGTGTCAAATTAAAGCCAAAAATTGCTTAATATGTTTTTCCATAAACAGCTCTTTTTTGTATTTTGGTAACTTGTATCTATGATGCTTTAAAAACTCTAATTTGAAAACTCTAGTTTGAAAACTCTAGTTTCCTATCTTTCTGATAGCAAACTAGAGTTTTCAAAAATTTTAAATCATTTTTAGTCATAGATGCAGCAAAAAGTGTGGTGAGTTGCTTTGAAAATAGACACATACAACAAATACACAGATTGAAAGCAATCTGTTAAATAAAAACATTTAGCTAATTTAAATTGTCCTCTAAACATTCAGGTCTTGAAAATTAGAATTTTTTTACCATCCACCTGGCATGGTGGAAGGACCTCTAGGCTGGTTGTTTTCAAGCTGCTGCATGGCAAATGATATAACATCACTGTCATTCTGTTTGTAGATCTAGCAACTTCATTGTTGATTCCAGTTGTGTAATTTTGTAGTACTTTTCAGAATTATTAAAAACGGCAAAGTCATTTGTCATAACGGGTAGACCAAAATACTCAATCAAATATTTATCAATCAGACCGTATCATTTTTTGAATCTATGAAGACTTCATTTCTTGTGAATATTTAAAAGAATATTTTAAAAAAGCATTTAAAGTAGACTATAGTTAAAAATGTATGTAAATTATACAGTCGGTATAAAATTGAATTCACTATGGTGCTTCATAATTTTACTAAACATAATAAAAAGAAGCTGACTCAAATTAAATTGAACATGCACGCGATTTAATGTGTTAGGAAGACTACTTCCATTAAAATAATTCATAATGATCTTTAAAAGTTGTATTTTAAGTTCTTATATCTCTTTTGCTGATTTTAATAAAAATTTCTTCATAAACAGCTTTTAACATTTTTTAAACAGCTTTTAACATTTATTTTTAACATTTTGTAACACAAAAAAATCAAAGGTTCCACCCCTGAGTTATACTGCAGCTGTTCATTTCTCTTCAAGTGCCCAGACTGTGCTGCATCTTGAAACAAATTGACTCTATGTTCCGCATGGTCATTGGACACAGCCTGGGTCTTTGTTTTAGCTTCCACTGCCTTGAATCTTCTTTACTGCTCCATGGTTCCAGGTCTTCTGTTCAGAGTTTCATCGGCCATGTCCAGTGTAGAAAATAGGTTCTTTTAGAAATGAACTCAATCATTTCCAATAGCTTCTTTTGGAAATGAACTCAATCATTGTCTTCTTCTTTCTCTATTGATGCTATATTACCATTGCTCACTTTATAGATACTTCAGGATCAAATAGGCTACACAAGATCAGATCCTCTGATAGATACCATTAGTGACTAGCAATCTTGCGAGATGTTGCGACACTGATATCTTTATCATTGTCAATGCGCACATCTACCAAAGCAGTTTCAGATCATTTCTAGTGGCTTTAGATGCCAGCGGTGCCAAATACCAAAAAATGATATGTATCTTTGCAAGAATTATATTGATATGTAAAAGGAGGCCATGAGATGATCACTTAAACTTGAACTTAACTTGCGACCTAAAAAGCCAAACTTTGATACTCTAAATGGCTTTTTTCATCTAGCGAGCCTGATTCATTGGCCCAAAATTTTTCAAGTTCTGCAATTCTTCCCAAAAAGATAAGCATCAGTTTAAAAAGCTTGCAATAATTGTCTCATGGTTGATGATCTTGCAGTTCTTGTTCACAAAATTCAATGACTTCATCTTTGACATGAGCGAGTTCAACTAAAGCTGATTTATCTAAAAATAGATTCTCATACATTCTGTTTCCTGGTCAAGTGATGACCATTGTGCTTGGAACTTTTTGAAAACAAGAGTTTCCAGTGCTTTACTTGGGCCCATACAAGCTCCAAAAGCAGCACAAATACCAGGTCTAGAATATAATGATAAACAAAGCAGCCGTGGCGCAGTGGTAGCGCACTTGCCTCAAAAATATAAGATCCGTATTTCAAAGGCCACCTCTGGGCAAGTCTTGCGACATTGGTTGGGAAGGAGGCATGAACTTCCTACTAAATGCTCTTCTGCGGTGCTCTGTGATAAGACCGTAAGGACTTCTTGGGGCACCTAAATCAACTTAAAAAAAAACTAAATAAAGAAGAAGAGGTCTACCTAGTAGCTGCTTGTAAATGTTAAACGTCCAGTATTCAAGCTGGTTGTATCAAAACACAAGCTTTGAACCAAGTTCTCTACTTCCCACTTCTGGGTAGCATTATAGACAGCTTGAGTTTTCGCTTGGCTTGTACCTGCAGCAATCTCTGAAAATTTCAAAAGGTGTAATAATGCTTGTGATTGGAACTGCATCTTCAGACTGAACTTGATCTTCAGACTAACTTTTCTTCTGACCCTGCACTGCTACTGCTCTCAATACAGCTTTCTCTAGTTAGACATCTTTGTCAAGTTTAAATCCATGAAATTGTTGTTGGTATATTTTTGTTGTTATTGAATTTTTCCTCTTTCTCCATTTGTTTCTGTTGTTGTTTCAGCAACACTTTGTCTACACCTACCATGCAGCTAAAATGACCCTTTTTTCGTTGCAATTTCAGAAATAGCATTTTTTCTTGATTATCTTTAAATTCTATGGCATTTTTGTGAGCTATGTCAAACAGTTTCTCATTCATGGCTAAAAATGATTCTTTATTTGCTTGTTGAGTCTGAGTTTTGCTGCCCTTATTTTTCTTCAAACTTCTCTACTCAAAAAATGATTGTTCAATCTTTTTGATGGAAACCTGACAATGATTTTTTGCTCGAAATCAGAAATCCTATGCTTGCTCTATGGTGTGGTTTGCTGCTTCATGGATATTCTCTTTCCGGATGTGATAATGGAGGAAGTTTCTAAAACCTACCTCCCTGAGGGCAATTTATTTCATTTCTTGTTAATTCATCTTGTTAATCCTGCTAATTCCATTAGCTGGATTAACAAGATAAACTTGTAAATGTAATGCTCTTTATAAACAGCAAAAAGTGAAAGAATTAGATAATTATGCACACAGATAACAGAATACCCATCCTATTATAATTATATTCAATAATCAAATGTAATATATAGTTTTAATAAAATTAATAGTTAATAAAATCAAATTATTAATATTTATAAACAATATTAACTGCTCTTACTGAAGGCGTTAAATCATTTATTTTAATCATTCCAAGATCATAATAAAGTTTATGCTGAACAATTTATATTAAGACACAAATACCTTCTAGTTGACCTGAATTCAACTCATCAAGAAAAATTGAAAACCTTTCTCCAGTTATTTGTTTTTTTTTGCTAAAGCTCTTGAGAAAGTTCTAATTTTACCTTTATAGCGTATTGATCATTTGGGATTTTAAGTTCTTGAGCTTTCCAGCCATTTTTAATATCCTAACTACTAGCCAAAGTTCTAAAATGAATACGATCTACAGCTGTCAAAGGAGCTAATACTTCTTCAGCTTTGATACCTGTTTTATTAGAGCAGTAACACTTGTTAAGATATTTTTTGTCTTTAAGATTTATTACATTTCTGCTCTAAATAATATGAGAAAATTGAAGTTGATAAATGGAATTTAAGTTCAATTGAACAATGTTTGCACTTGTATAATAATTTCATTTAACTTTATAATTTTTTATTCCGCTTCCAAACATCATAAAGATTTTTTTCATATGATATTGTAAATGAAGGCCATGTTACTGTATTGCTGCACTGTAAATTTATTTAGATTACTCACCTGTATTAAAAAAGTGAAAATGGTTTTTGTTGTTTCTTAATTAGGTTGTTACTATAACAACAAAATATGAATAGAAAGAGTTTTAACAATGTTTTAATAAAAAAAATTAATCAATTGTTTGTTAATTAATTAACGATTAGTTTTTATTAATTGATTAATTGTTAATTGTTTACCACCCCTACACATAAGTAATTTAAAAGTTAATGAGAGACTTTTCAAATTTTGCTTTTTATTTTTATTTGCTGTAATAGTTGTTGCTCAAAGCTAGAAAAAAACTTGAAAATAGAAATCACCTGCTCAACTTAAACTCTTATTCAAAGTATTTCCAACAAAAATTAGTTAAACAAAATAGTTTTTATTTTATTTTTTTTATTTTAATTCACCAAGGCTACTTAAATTGTGGTTCCCTCTCTCAACTCTATAAATATGAAACACGAACCTTGACAAACAAGGCCGCTGTATGGAGAAACAAGTTTAACACGGTACTACCAGGGATGTGGTGGGGATCAAACTCAAAATTTCTTGCTTGTGAGACGAACCGTCTACCACTAAACCACTACGGCTAAATTTTAAAGTTATTAGAAATTTCATGTTGGATTATAGGCTTAAGGGTGCTTCTTATTTTTGATTTTTCTTTCTGTTTTTTTCTTTAAAAAAATTTGATCTTTAAAAATGACTTTTCTTTGACTAGTTGCAAATCCAAAACTAGCATCAACAGTGTTGTATAAAAAATAACTTACAGCAAAGAAGATTTTTGTCTTGTTTATTTGTGTAATATTGTCTTTATAATATTAAGGCAAATTTTTTTAACGTTTAGTTTTCATTTTATTTTTTTAGATTTGGAAGATACTTCTCCACTTCAGGTTTCTTAATTTAAATATACACACTATTACACACGTACATATACACACACATATACACAGATACACACACAATTCACTTACACATATACACACACATATCCACACAAATTTGAAATAAATAAAAATTTTATAAAAATTTTAATATTTATTTTTTAAAAATAAATATTGAAATTTTATAGCAAAATTGTATTGAAAATTTACATGATATTGATAAATATGAAGTACCATAAATGCTTGTGTTTAAGTCAAGAAATTCATGACATATTTTGAGTCAAATCAGGCTAATATGACTTATACATGATTATAATTTTTCAACTGAAACTTTTTTCAAATTTCTTACTACAATGCAGCGTTGATTTGTAAGTATTAACATATATTCATCTATAGATATATTAAATAGCAGTTTAAACAAAATATTTTTTTTCTTTTAATAATCAGTTTAATACTAATTATTATTAATAATATTACAAATGTCAATAATATTAATAATAATAGTAATAACAGTAATAGTAGTAATAATGATGATAATAATAAAAATAATAAAATCAATCATATTCCCTTATGAAATTGTTATTTCCAACTTAATTGGTATTTTTCACAACTTGTCATTTTACCTCAAGAGCTGGTATTTTAATGTGTGAATGATTTTTAATTAAAGATTGCCCACCCAAACCAACACAGGGTGACCATGCCTCGTAAAAAATTCTAAAATATCCTAATATTTGAAAAACATCCTAAAAAGACCTAATTTCTCCTTAAGTTTAGATGGTTTTCTCAAATACTATTATCAGCCAATCAACAATAAATTAATAGAATGGTTCAGACTTGGAGTTAGTACTGTTGTATATTGAGAGAAAATAAGATACTCAAATGTATATTTGTTATTTTTGTAGTATTTTAATAATTCAAAGTTTTGTTCAAATAAAATTTAAGTTTTTTTTTTGTTTCTGTCTAAGTTCTGAACATCAAAATTATTTTTATTAAAATTTTATTTTAGTTAATTTGACCTAAAATAATTTTGTAATTTCAGAATAGGAAATGTCGTTCAAACATAAAGACAATAAATATAAAATTTTTATTATGTTTATTTTAAAAAGTATGTTATTATGTTAGGTATGTTTGATGATTTTTTATTTAAACATAATCTTTCTTTTAACTACTCCTTTTTCCCAAATGTTCTAAAAATATAATTTTGTAATATATTTGTTTTTTTAACTTTTTCAATCATCACCTATCATAAAATTGAGAACCAGCTAAATGCTAATTTTATAAAATAAATTATTCTTCATTGTTTAACAATATTTTTTGCAAAATATATTCTGAATTTTTTAAATATGACCTAGATGTGGTAGTGGTGTAGTGGTAGAGCGCTCGCTTCATAAGCGAGAGGTTCCTAGTTCGATCCCCACCACGTCCCTGGTAATACTGTGCTTAACCTGTTTCTCCGCGTAGCAGCCTTGTTTGTGTTTCAGAGTTATAGAGTTGAGAGAAGGTTATAACCACAAGTAGCCTTCTCGTCTGTAGTGGCCTTCACAGCCTTGGGGAGCTGAACTAACATAAAAAGAAAAAAAGATGGTTGTTGTATGTTTAATATATGCAGATCTGAGTACAAACACATTGAAAATACATTTTAATGGAAGAAACATGTATTTTTGAATGTTATATGTAATGTCTTTGAAGGTTATTTCTGTTGCAGATCTGAATACAAACACATTGAAAATACATGTTAATGAATGAAAATCTAAACAATATATGTCTGCGAGTAGAAGAGTCATGATGGATTTGTATTTTAGATATTGGGACTCCTTATTAAAGATGGTAAAAACTCTGAATTCTTGGAAAAAGCTGCTGCTGTTGATATTATGATAAATTTCCATAAATGTATGAGTGGTTTAGAAGAAGATAAAATGCTCCAGGTTTCCATGGATTGTTCAAATGTTAATGTCTTTCCTTTCTAATTTGAATGCTAAGAGAAGTAAATGTGAACTCAGTTAGTTAGTATCAATTGGATAATGCGGCCTTCACACAATGCACTGTTCAGTCAAGAATGGTACACATGTTTCAGGATAGAAGTTAAAGAAGTTACTGTCTTCGTTGTATAAGATATTCCAAGATAGCCCTTCCCATTTTGCTGATTTTGAAAATCTTACTCAAGCTCAGTCTTCAGACAATGGTCTACAGTTCTGTAGCCATCGTTGGATTGAATATGAGAAAGTAGCAAAGAGAGATTAATAAATATATGGAAATATGGCCCAAGATTATTGTGATTATTGACTTTTGGAAAACTTTGCCAAAAAGCAAGCAACCTGGTTAATGTAAGCCCAAGCAAAGTACTAATTATAAATACATTTCTTCATGCATATAAAGATGTGTTAGTCCTTATAAAGTTGCAATTTTTTAAGGAAACTGCAAAATTGTTAAATTCTTTCTTGTTAGTTTTCCAAACCGACAATCCTATGACACCTTTTCTTTTGGAAACACTTAAGAATTTACTGAGGCTATTTTTACCTAAGTTTATCAGAAAAGAAGTTTTGTCTGAAGCATCCACAACTTTTAAATTATTAAAAGTTGATATCATTGATGTCACAAGTTAAGTGTTGCTCACAAATGTTGATCTTGGGTTTGGAATAAAATATGAGTTGCAGCAACTGAAATCTAGAAAAAAAAGTTACTGATGCACATACCTATAATTTTAAAATAGAAGTTTAACAGTTTTTAGTTACAATGTGCAAACATGGTTAAAAAAAGTTCGCTAAACTCATATTTTGCCAGATACTTTTTGTGTTTATCACTTTTGTACATGGAGGAGTCTCATGAGATGTGTGATCTTTATTTTGACAAGTTGTTGCTGAAATTAGTTGCTATAGATTAGATTCTTTTTTGGTTCAATATACAGATGCTTCAAGGTTCAAGGACTATATGAATATTCACACATTGGTACTAATATTGTCCAATGGCAAGGCATAAGTAGAGTATGGATTTAGTATAAACAACCAAATTCTGGATAATATGCTAACTGATACTCTTGTTGTACAGAGAATTGTACATGACCACATGTGCAGTAAAAATATAAAATCATCCCAATTGGCTATAACAACTAAACTTATGAGACATGTCAAGGATGCCCAAAAATTATACTTTAGCAGTCAGATAGAGAAGTCCTTGAAGGCCTTAAAAACTGACCTTGATACTAAACTGAAAAATTTTAATTAAATTTAAATTTAAAAAGATAACATCCTTAAAGGTACCATACTTCAGCTCAGATATGATGCAGATGAGTATGCATTGCAAGCAAAAAAGCAGAACTCATTGATAGAAATAAAGTCAACCATTCTAAAATCAAATGCGCTAAAGAGGGTTGCCTCTGAAAAGCAGGATTTACTAAAAAAAAATTACAACAGCAAAAAAAGTACTTGACAAGAAAGCTGAGATTAAGATTTGAATAATTAAGTTTTTCAACCGTTTTTTTTTTTTTCTGATTTGATTATTTCTTTTTATGTCTGGATAATATGAAATATAAAGTTTAGTTTTTGAAATTGGCTGTGTATTTTAATGATTTTTGATTATTTATTGTTTGTTACTTAGTCATAAAGTCTATATAGTGCAATGTTAAATTTGATAAATTTCTAATGCAAGTATGAAATTGATTTCAAGTTATTATTTTTATAATGTTTCAAGTTATTATTTTTATACGTGTAGAGATGTTAGATTATTTTAATTAACAGTGTTTCGACCCTAATTTTATCTTATCTTAGCTAAGCATTCTTACAGTTTTTAAATAAAATAAAAAATTTTAGTGCCACTTTATTTTTAAAATTCTCCTAATATCTCCTAAGACTTTTATACTTTTTTTTTTAAATTTTCTGGTAAATCTCTTTAAGAACCTTAAAAAATCTTTTAAATTATCCTAATTTTTTCAAAGAATAAAAGTGTGGCCACCCTGTCAATGTATTTACACTCCACACATGTTCTAGGTAGTTTAAATCAGTCAATATATGTACACTCTTGCATTTTCTACCTGTTTGAGTCAGTTGATGTATGTACACTTTTTGTATGTTCTACCTGTTTAAGATCTAAAAAATATTTTTAGGGGATAGCTCTGTATTTCATTTTGGGCTAAAATAACATAATTTTTTGTGAAGTCAACGATAGTGGTAATGTTTAATTGATTCATATTCTGTTTTCATTGATAAATAGAATACTCCTATTAAGAGTAGGTAATAAAAATTAAGAATAAAGCTGTTCAAAGCAAAATAATAACAGTTCAATCAAACTTGGAGCTGTCAAATTCAATAGAACTTCATGATCTGTAGTTTACCATTGCTTGTAGTTTATCTAAAAGTTATCTTAATATTCTCTAAAAATCTCATGCATAAAGGTGATTATTTATCAAGGCAATCTTCACACTGATGATTGAGCAGCTTTTTCGAGTTTCTGGATTACTTTTAAATTACTCAAAAGTAGTTTTTTTTGATGCTTAATTTTTTTTTTCCTGGCATTGTTCAACAAAAACCACCATAAAAATTTCAACAAAATCTTATACATCTTTAGGTCAAACTTAACCTTTATACTTTTATGAAAGTAAAGTTTTATTGAGATTTTTATTAATAAATTTCTGTTATTATTATAATTATTATTATCGTTTTTATCATGATACTAGGTTAGTTAAAAAGATAAAAAAAAGAGGGTAAAACTAAAAAAAATACCTTTAGTCTTCAGTGTATTCTCCCTTAACTACAATACATTTTCTCCAGCAATTTTCCAATTCAGTTATACCATCTCTAAAATGGTTTTCTGTAAGCTTGTCAAAATATTGGTTCACAGTCGCTATAACTTCTTCATTTGAGGAAAAACACTTTCTACGGAGAAATTTTTTTAAATTTGGAATTAGATAGAAGTCTATATGGGCTAGATCTCTGTAGGGGCTAGGAGAGATGTTCAATTAATTCATATTGTAAATCGTTTTAAATACTCTTCTACTAAGGCGGATATTCAATCAG